ACTTTTATATATAAGAAAAATTATGTATTTTACTAATTATAATTAGTAAAAAATTTAAGTGTTGCATTATTTTTGATTGCCACTGTATAATTTTTTATTTAAATCTTATTATTTATTTATAAAATATTAAATAAAAATATAATAATATCAGTTTGTTTTTTATTTATACATTAAATTATATTAATTATGTCAGATTTTATATAATTAAGAATTGTGTAATAATGCAGATCACTATATTATGAAATAATATCAATCTAGATGGATCCAGGATTTTTAATTCATATTTTTTGACTACTTAGTATTAGATAGATAAATATATTATTACAAGTTATTTAATTTACTTATTTTTTAAATATCAATGTTAAATGTGAAATTTGAATTAAATTGCAGAGGTATTTAGAAATAGGCTGAACATGTAGTTGATCATCTAAAGTTGAATCAAAATCCCAGATCAACCTAGGTTGATTCGGAATCAAAGACATTCCGTTCCAAACTCATTAGAAATGAATTGGAACGCGACAGTATTTTATCTCCACGTTGATAAATTGCATTCATATAACCTTGGCGCGCGTTCAAAATATACTCTTTTTGTGTTATAATTATTACCTTTAAAAAAGAAGTTTCGAAATAAAAAATATGAGCTCAGAAGCGTCCGCCACTCATGTCTCAGATAAAGAGAATGGCATGGAAGAACGAGAGAATTCAATTGACACTGAACAACTAACACCACAACCACGCAAAAGGATTAAGCGTCAAGAAATATATGATCCTGAACAAGACAAAAATGAAAAAAGAGCTTTACGAAAGGACTATCGAAATCTTATTATCTCTACTGAAGGTCTATTTTTTCATGAATTGTTTTGAATAATGAATGGAATATCTCTAGTTATTGAAATGAAAATTTTGTTGGTCATTGATTGTATTAGAAAATCGACAAGACTATCTTAAATCTAACTCGAATGGATTGTCGGAAACTTTAGCAAAAGCGAATAGTTTATATAAGAAAGGTAATTGCCACAGTAACATAAACGTAATTTAATGAATTTTATAACAGACAGATTTTCGACTAAATATTTCATTAAAACTGACATCTTTATTAACTTTTTGCAGTGAGAAATACACATGAAGCGATCCTTGACTCCCGTATTTTGGTTCTTTCCGCGGATTTAAGCGTTCAAAAAGCGCGTCGTATGAAAATCGACAGCAATGCTTTTGACACGGATGATTATGTTGGTAAATTAGTTAATTTTATGGGAGGGAGTCAGCCGCATTTAGAGGAGGAAGATGATGCTCCATTAGACTGGTTGGGCCTTGGTAAGGTTGCTGCACGATTTACTACTCGTGTCCCCTCGATGGCCTACATGTGAGTCTATTTTCATTTATCTTTTAAATATTATGTCATATTATGGAATCTATAACGTATTTAATTCATAGGCTTGGTCCATTATCAATTGAGCAAAAAGAAAGGACAAAGGGAAAATCGCAAGTACGGATAGAAAAAAATGAAAAAGATCTCAGAACTCCTATAAGTGTACGTAATTTGTTGTGCAAGTTTAAAATCGAAAGACGTTATTGATCTTTTATTTGAAATTGAAAAAAAGATGAAAGAACAAGATATTGAAAGACAAGAAAACGAAACAACACGCAATGTCAAAATGATCGCTGACTTTATTCAAGAAAGACAACCGATAAATCTTTTTGAATTTATAATAAATCCGGAATCATTCAGTCAAACAATTGAAAATTTGTTCTATTTGTCTTTTTTGGTTCGTGATGGCCAAGTAAGCATTGACGATGAGGATGGTCAACCGATCATAAGTATGTTATATTTATTCTTCTTTCGAAATCGAGTTTTCTTTTATTTATTATTGGATTTTGAATCATATATCTGCGCATAGCTCGATGTGAATCTGCAACTGCAGAGGATTACGAGAATGGCTTAATAAAAAAACAAGTTGTCTTGGAAATGGATATGGCTCTATGGAAAGTAAGTTTTTTTCATTCAGCTTATACAAATGTTTTGTTTTGTTATATTTACGAACAATTACGCATATTAATCCTTAAATTATTATTAAAAATAAACAAAAGCAACTCATTGAGGTATACGAGATCAAAAAAAGTATTATACCCACTAGAGTAAAGAAAGAATACAGGGCAGGAAAATGGTATGGTTGATTGGTTAATAGTTTCTACTTAAATGTATTTTGTAGATAGTATTCGTTAATATACTTCAATATGTGCTATAATTAATAATCTACTTCAGCCATACTAGATTTGGTTTATTAAATACATGTATTATTTTATCTTATATCGATAATCTCGAGCGTTTATATTTAACGAATAGAAATATAGATAAACACTACACATTTAAAAAAATCTTTTCAATATAATAAATATACATGGAAATACCAAAGTCTTTTCCAATCGTAATATCGTTAGTGTGCGCTTGTTTGAATTATATAGGTGGTGGAAGTCTTTACTTGTTCTCTTTGTATGGACCACAATTAGGAAAAGAATTAGCATATAAACAAGTAGAGGTAGGTGGGTAGTAAATAGTATATAGACAGGGTATTATTGAAATAAATTCTAACTGGTGCTTTGATAGCTATCATTTGTTGGATCAACGGGTAATAATGGATTGTATTTAATGGGCCCGTTAACTGGATGGTTCTTGGATAAATATGGTAAGTGACTTATATGATCAATTGATTAAATTGTAATCTTTTGTTAAATATTTCGAAAAAATAAATAACTATTAATAGGTCCAAGATGGTAAGCTACGAAACTTTATATATAGATTATGTATTTATCATTCCATATTATACGAAATTAAACGAAACTTTTCTAATTTTTCCTCTTAGGTCGTGTATTTTAGCAGCAATTTGTATCTTTTCTGGGTACACTTTGATGGGCTTTACCTATAATCACATTTTACCAAATTCATCGTTTATTTTAATGGCAACCTATTATGGTTTGGTCGGTGCGGGATTAAGTTTTTCGTAAGTGTTATCAATCAATGCATCAAATTTCCAATTTTTGTTTTTTTGTTTAATTGATTTTAGCATTGACGTAATTACACGGTTATAGCTGTATGGCGGCTCTCAATGTTGTCGCAAAAAACTTCGAGAAACACCGTGGTACTGCATTGGGGTAAATCACTCGTACTATTTCTATTATCCATGAATTTAATTTTATCTTTACATTAACTATAAGTTGTAATAATTATTAAAATAGTATCCCTTCAGCTTTTTTCGGCCTTTCTGCATTCTTATTATCACAATACAGTGAGATATTTCTTGTTGATAGTAAAGGGAGATTAGATGTTTTTAAATTACTTTTATCCTTGGGAATTGCGTTCGGTATTGCTAATATAATATCTACAGCATGGCTGCGTATTATTCCATCACGTGTTGAAGAGGAAGTTATAGTGGACATAAACGGAAATGAGCAAACGCCTTTGTTGACACCATCAAATACGGCAATAACAACGTATAATAATTCATCCTTAAATACAAACACATTTATAAGTGATCCATCAGCGTGGCTTTTGTTCTTTTCGTTTTTTTTTCTTTCTGGAACAGGACTAATGGTAATCAACGCTATTGGAACAATAATTGTATCACTTGTATTAGCATCAAACCCATCAGATTCGCTTGTTACAACAAATCCTCGAACATCACAACTTCAGAGTTTTCACGTGTCATTAATTTCTATTGCTTCTTGCCTTGGACGTATTTCAATGGGTATCGCATCAGATTACTACAAACTCTATCATGGAACATCACGATTAATATTCTGGCTTATTGCTGCTATAATAATGCTCTGCTCACAATTATATGCTGCGTTCGGGCTAGCATTGCTCGATTCTGCGGAAAAGGCACTGAGTACTCTGTGGATATTGTCGATTGGCACAGGCTTTACATACGGAACATTTTTTAGTTTGGGGCCGACTATTACCAGTGAGCTGTGGGGGCTTCCAAGATTTGGGATTAATTGGGGAACGATGATTTTGGCACCCGCCGTTGGTGGACTCTCGATGAATTTGGTTTTTGGCATTTTGTATGATTATTATGCGAAAAAACAGTCAATTGGTGATGATTTTGATGAAGTTAGACAATGTAGAGGTGTTGAATGCTTTCAAATGGCTTTTTATGTTTCCAGTTTTATTTGCTTAGTTGGCATTTTACTTGCTTGGGTTTTGTTTGTGAGAAACCAAAGAGTAATTTCACTCTGAACATCTAAAAATATAGATTTCGGTGTTCTATTCTATCACATGTATTATATAGGGTAGGAAACTAGTATCTCAGAAGGGAAGGTCTTTATAATAAAACAGAGATTAGCTCAATATCTGTCACTCATCTAACAAGCCTACTAATTTCCGGATAGCTTAAAGCAGACAAATATTGCGAACCAAATTTTTTATTATGTATTTTTATCCGCCAAACTGGAAAATTATTAAGAATGAAACTTTTGCCATTTTTGTTAAACACTTACATTTCATGTTTTTTGGGATTAATAGAATGTGATCTTTGATCATTTGCATCTGCGCTCGATTCAGCAAGGATTAATTAAAATCTGGCTTTAAAGAGGATGAATTTTGTTTCAAAACATGACACACTGCTATCTCTTGACTATATTGCCTTAATTTTTGTTATACATTTCGGGTTTTCTAAAAATTGCAATTTAATGAGCTGTTAAAAAGAATAATCTCAATTAAACAACATCATGAAACTTTTTGATGTATTTAAGGGTGGATAACTACTGGTTTAATGTCATTTGAAATCCGTCCTGCGACCGTTGTTATCAACAGAAGCAGACTGCACTTGTAAATCAAGAGATCAATTCCGAAACCATTTAAGCTAAACGATTGAAGAAGTATGGTTATATTTTATAAAGATAATGAAAAGGTTTCTCTAAATCTCTCAAATATATTTTTGAGGCTTCACGCGTAAAGAAAATGTAGAAGAGGCTCTGTGTTCTAAAATGGAACTGCAATTTAAGTTACCAAAGCGCGAATTAATTTAGAAATCTCTGCAGGTAAATTCATAAAATAAAAGATATTAATATCTGAAGATTTGCACAAAAAACTTTGGTCATCTGGCATATTTAACCCAATCCGCTGGTGTTACATCTACCATATTATATTTTTCACACCATTCCTCTTTAAGTTTCCACCACACACCGCGCATGTTGCTTATTTCACTATCTGTAATATTTTTAGGTAATATTTTTTGCCAAGGGGGTTGGCTGAGGGACATCAGTTTGTTTAATTCAACAAATTCGCCATCAGTTCTGTAATTTCTCCATCGAAGATCGTGAGCCGCTTGTTCAGAACAAATAACCAAGCTTGCTTCTTGGCTGTGCACGTCCTTATATCCCCCAAAAGCTGTCATCACATGTGTGGATGTATGATGTTGATGATTGGTGCCTTTGATGTCTTCACATTTTGCACGACAGGTGGGACAACACGCAGTACAACCTTCCAAGGTGTCCCATTTCGCTTCGATTGTTTCATCGGCACGACTCTGAATACGTTTCTTCGATGCATTAAGTTGCTCCTCAGTTTCCCATTTGTTGTAAAGCTCGACGAGCTTTTTCTTCAATTCCTCTTTGAAAATTACGCAAAATTTCTTGGGATCTTCAACAGTGTATTCACCAAAAACTGACAAGAACCTGTCGACGTAATTGTACGCGGCATTTCCCCGAGATCTTTCAAAAATAGCTTTGATACTAGACTCTTCGCCGCGATTCCACACATTGTCGATTTCCGAAATGAGAACCGTTTCTATGTCTTTGATTTTTTTCTTAATCTCATTAAACTTATTACTCACTAATGTATTGATCCTGGGTGTGCTTTCTTCTTTAAAAATTTTCCGGGCAAACTTATCGAGGTTGGTGAGATATTCGCGGACGGCGTCATGATCCCTGTTACCGAAACTTCGCTTATGCGCCCAGTGGGTCGTACCGTACTTATTCACCCAACTTTCTGTCAAATATTTTTCAACATCATCTTTAATTGTTGATTCATGGGCTACAAGACTTTCGGACACCTTCTTGAAGATGTGCTTAGTTAATTCAAAAGACAGATTTTTAGCAGAGTGATCCATTAAGAGATTATTGAAACTTGATTGGAGTTCTTCTTTTAGAGCTTCAAGTTTTTTCTTTTGTTCAGCACGCCATTCTTTCATGTTTTGACTTAGAGTTTTGTATACCTCTAGCCGCAAGTATTTCTAGTATAGACATTAATAAGAAAAATATGTTCTCATTTAAAATCAGTTAGTAATATTTAAATATACCTCGATTGGATTGAAATCATTAATCTGTGGTGAATATTGGGCCTGGGGATTGCTCAAATTTCCAATAACGATGAAAAGCCCGTCGCATAATCTCTGAAGCCAACTATGCGTCTTTCCGTATTCGATTCGCAAAGATTTATCCACCTTGATTTCGGTGCAAATTGCATTCGTAACTTTTTCGACCTCTTTGAGAATCTTCTGAGTAGCATCGTTTTTGATTGAGGTATGATCTGCCATTCCAATAGACTGCAAAAATTGAGCTTTCATACTTTGATTTTTTATAGAAATTAACTTGTATATGACCTCGAAGTTCATCACGATATCCTCCGTGGCCAATGTTGCGGGTGTTTCAAGAGACATCCAGAATTTCCTGTGGAATTTTTGTTGAAAATCTGGATTTTGAGAATTGACTGTGCTCTGGCCTCCTTTGATTGCTTCATTAAATGAATTCACCAGTTGTTCAAGCTGGCTAACGTTTTCAATCCTTTTCATAAAATCATCATGAGATTGTTTCACTTTCTTCCACGTATTTTCAAATAGTTTGTTACGTTTATTTTGGTCACGTCTCAACTCTTCCATGCCATGAGCTGAATTAACTTTGATTCGATCGCCAAATTCTGTCACTGCATTGTTTATTAGTGCCTTCTCGTTGTATTTACGTTCCTCTTCACACCATTTTGCCTCGAAACTGAGTTTATCGGTGGCGAACATGTTATGAACCAGATTTCGTCCTTCATCTTTAATTCTAGCATCAAATTGATTTGCAGCTTGCTGGTCAAATTCGAGAAGCGATTTATCACGGTGTGTTTTTTCAATACTAGTTAGCTTCGCCAAAAACTCGTTATGAATTTGATCCGCTTGACTATAATTCGCTTCAAGCTTCTCAATGTAACCCCTAATGCATTCGTTCACTTCGTTCCGGAATGGTTGCAAATTCTTTTGGAGGATTTGGACAATTGCTTGCATTGCATTCCATTTTTGAATTTCTTTAAAGTCATTGAAGTGAAGAAAACTGCCCCTGGCATCAATCATCCCCCATGTTGTTTTCATCTGTACAATAAAGCCTAAATATGGAGGTATAATATATGTTCACAACATTTGAGTTTTTGAAAATAAACAAAAGCACACCATAGTTACCATTGACATTATCAAACATTCTAGTCTCTTGATTTTGAGTTGAATCAAGAGCCGATACAAGAAGAGCTTTACGTAGGTTTGATACTTTGATAGGAAAAGTTTCCTAATTAAATATGATTAAGTTAATAAATCCATTTGAAATTACATTGTCAGCAGCTAACGTTTCACATGTATTAGTAAAGACTTGCCGCGGGCATATGTATATTTTCAGATTCTGAGATATTATCTGCTCGTGGTCGAAAGTCATCATTGAAGGATGAGAAGGCGTTCACCAAGAGGTGCACATCCTTTTGTTCTACCGTCATAAAGTCGTCCAAATCTTCTGTGCAGCCAGGAATTTGTTGAAACATTTCTTCGAGACTTGTCCGAATGTCCAGAAAAGCTGGTTTTTGGACTTCAGCTTTATCCATCATATCACGCAATACAAAATGTAATCTCGGTTTTAATCTGCTCGCTTTCAATGCGTCCAAATGATAAGAGGAAACCTCAAGAATATTGGCAATATCACGCGTTAAGCCCTTGGTATTAATTATGACAATTTGGGAACACATTAAAGCAAGTAACGTGATTTTCTTGTCAAAACTTGTACGTCTGGTGATATATTTCTGAGCCGTAGATCCCATGCCCTCTTTTTTTTGCAAAAATTTAAATAAATTCTCTATAGAATTGTAACACTTTATTAATCGTCTGAAAAGACAAACCTGAATCCAGTATAAGGAGATCAATTGGTTGTTCTTTAAACGTAGAATGGCGATATGACATATACATTCCCTTTGTACTATAAAATAAAATAGCCAAAATTATTGTATCATCACAAATGCTGTGAACAACAAATTCAACCTTACCATCGTCCAGCCGCAGTTGAAAACCCGCATTTGAAGAGATAATTAAGCAAGGTAGACTTACCTGAACTCTCCAGGCCGATTACAGATATGACAAGAAGTTGACGGTTTGGATCCGTCATTATTGATGTTAAGACCTTTGATAGAAAATCAGTATCAAGTGCTCGAAGCGATAATCCGTCTAACATTTGCATAGCCTCGCCTTCTGTTACCCAAGTTCGGTAGGCACGCTCCAGAGTCCTGGAGAAAATTTATCATTAGTAATTTGATCTTTGAACTTGCGGCGTAAATTGGACCCATTTCTTACTTGATATCAACGGAATAAAGTTTTTCGGAAACAGAAATCTCCCTCGTGACCATAATATTTGCGAGAATAACAAATTCCCGCCAAAAATCATGGATTGAAATATCATTATCTTCAATCTGTCGTTTGATATGTTGCCGAGCAGAATCCTCGGATTGATTTAACATTGAGAGTTCGTGTAAGTGCGCCTTAAAGAAATCATCAACATTACGAGCAAATGCGCGCATTTTCAATATATCATTTTTTTTAATTCCTTCCACAAATAAAGACATTATGGCTAAGGGTGACGTATCACCTATGGCCGATTTAGCTGATTCAAATTCTTTAATTCTCCGGCATAATTCCTCTTCAGATATGAACCTGCGGTTATCCTCACAAGTTGTTAAATGTTTCATATCCCTGAGATTTTCAATTTCGTGCTCAACATATGATGCAGGGAAAATTGCACGGCGCCGAAAATCACTAAGGCCATTGACAAAACCGGCGTCTTGCATACATTGGGCAAAATACCTGCTAGACATATCATTGGGCCAAACAACAATTTGGGTACCATCATGTAAACTGGTTGAAATATTGAATGAGAGATATGGGTACAAATATAACTCTCTCACTCTCAAAATAGCATTGAATATATCTGCTTTTAATTCATCTAATTGCTGTTGAATTTTAGATAACGAGAGTCTCTTAAAGCTAATCTCGTCATTACTAAATCTTGATTTAAGAATTCGCTCGATCAAAAGCTTTCGTTTGTTAAATGCGTCGCGTGCTCTTGGATCCTTCTTTTTTTGGGCATCTTTATATAATATTAAAATTTTGCGTTTTTCATTAACATATCGTTGCGTGGAAATCATAAGTAGTTGATCTTCTAGTTCCTGACTGATTTCGTTTCCAATGAAATCGTCATCAGAGACATGAATAATTAGAAAGAAAGCGTACTGGGAGAGATTATATACAACACCATTCATGAATTGGGACGGCATTTTGCTATTATATACTTCAGCTATTGCAACCGGTTGTCGGATGTGATTTTCAGATGCTGAATGAAAAGAGATATCGATTGATCCGGGATGAGAGATCGACATAGTATCTTCTCGATTTGCGCACAAAATTGGATACAACTGTTTTGAAAAAGGGGGACTTATTTCGCTAGTTGTTAAGTTAAATGAGAGAAAAAGGCAATACTTTTTTGCTGCTACCAGTTCACGCATCGCAGCGAGAACCTTCTGACCTTTAGGATATGGTTCCGGTTGACCGGTCAAAAGTATTGGAATAGGTATATTAGAAGAGACGAGAGTATTCAGCATTGTGGGCATGGCCTTTTCTGGTACTTGATCCAAGAAAGCGACCAAAAAATCCCGGCCAGTGCAAGTTTCTAAGTAACCCAAGAGAGGAGTACGATCGCGTCGGTAAATTTGGCGAATACAATCGACCAACTTGCGAAGGGAAACTGTGCGGCTGAGGATATCAATAAGATAGGGAAACAAGCCTCGCAAAATTCCATGCGGGGAGTTTTGGAGAGCGTGTCCTAAGTGTTTTCTCACTATTTCTACCGTCAATTCTTCCGAGACAAATCGAGTGGAATCAAAATCCAGCGGACTCAATCCGAATGTGATTTCAAAAAATGCATCCAGCGTAAGCGTCTTTTCACTCTCATCAAAAGAATCATTCTCATCAAAGGAGACATCATCATCAAAAGATTCCGCACCAAGGTCCTCAAACTACATTGGTATATTAGCCACGCAATAGATGATTTCCCATTAATAATTCTTTCGTTTAAATAATTTTTTATCTTAATGTAGAATATTGCTTACCGCATCATCGGCATCTTCTCTCATTATTAAAGAGATTTAAGTTACTAAAAATAATATTCTGATGATTATTTATTCCTGACAAGAACAACCAGGAAACTGCGAATTCCAAATTTTATGAGAGAGAAAGCCATATGGCAAAGTCATCATGATATTTATAATTCAACATTTGTATTGCGCAGTTTTTTCATATCTACTAAACGTGAGAATTCACGCAAGGAAATAACTAAAATGGTTCCGTTCTCTCACACTTGATAAATGGTCCAGCGGTCATTTTTATCTTTTAGAATGCAAAGCAGCCAGCGGAGATGTCATGAGAATTGACAAATGTTGATACAAACAAGTTTAATCGGATCATGGGAATTGATCTCAATTAAAGGATTAATGCACATTCCCTTATGGAAATCTAGCATTCACACACATTGTGATTTTACTGCACAATTTTTCCGCGCATCAAACTTTATCTTACAAATAACATTGTTTTATTGTTTTATGTTCTAAGAAATTGTGCTTTCTTCGTCAGAAAAAAAAACTTACCACACTGCATGTTTTCCTAGCGATGAAAGAAACTTTTACTATTGGTACCTTTTAGCGTTGTAATTCTTTGAATAACAAGAGAACTACAATTTATGTGCGAGTATCTCAAAATCTTTAAGGCAAAAAGTGAAGTCACTAAAATGATAGTAGCACCAACGTGTGTGTTGCCTTTTGGGACGGTAATTGATAAAAATTTGGTTTAGTGGGCAAAAAAGTGTTGGGTCGTGTGATATATACGAAAAATTTGGATGGTTCTCGAAAAATTTTACCATAGCTTTTTTGGTTAAATTTTCGCGTGACATACACTCCTAACGAAAGCTTATCGGGGCAAAAGATTTGGTATCTTAAAGATGCAAGATTTTTTATGCGTGTTTTGCCATTTACGATCTAGGAGATATCCTTGAAAACAATAAGGATGCAATTTTGCATATAATTCTGGTCCCCAGCATCAATTAACATTAGCTATGAAACACGTGATATCACTCAACGCGAGCACGCGTTCATTTATTAAATGAAAATCTACGTGTTGCGAGAAATTATTTCAACCTTCTTAAACTCATTCTAGCGCTCAATTATGTTCGCTGATTTCCTTCATTGCAATTTGTGTTTTGGCTATTCGGCTCCATCCTCTCTATCAAACAATAACGAAGACAAATTACGGTTTTGGTTGACTGAATGTGGACATATAATTTGCCAGGCTTGTTATAATAAATCCACCGAACCTAGTACAGGTTTGTCATTATTAACCAAGCTATACCCTATTAAAATTGAGAGCACACGAGCAGTAGATAGGTTTTCAGCTCGATAATACTCGTAATAGTGGTAATAGTTTAGAAACATTCGAGTTTTTATTTTTTCCGAAAATTTTAGATGACAACAATGCTTCGAACTCTAAAGACTCCAAAGAACGCGTTTGTCCGGTTTGCCAAGCGAAAAGTACTGTAGTTGAATTAACGAATAAGGTATTAATGGTCATCATATTAGTTTGAGAACATTTCTGCTGGCGCAAAGATGACTAATTTATTTAATTAGCTTCCCAACAATCTAAACATTTATTTTCGACCACCCAATGAATTATTGGACGAAGCGGCTGATGTCTTGAGAGTAAGTATTTATGATGAATATATTTTTATAGGTTTGATTTATATTTTCGTGACGTTAATTGTCCGTCACACTTATAATAATCTTAAACTAATATTAGTTTTAATAATGATTTTTCCAGTTTCAACAAAGTAATCTCTACGGATTACTGAATTTCCTAAAAGACAAAGTAAACAAACAAAAACAAGTTCTTGATAAAGCCAAAGAAGAACTTATCAAACATAAAGAAATTAAAAAGTAAGAACAATAAACTATATATAGCTGAGTAATTGACGAACAAATTGTGCGATTAAATTCTATCTTATGATCTTATGTTATTTATAATTCCGGTAATTATATCAGTCAGTTACAAGCTCTCAAGGAAGAAAACAAACGCTTAAAAACCGAATTACAAGAGGCAAGAACCGGCAGAATTAATAACAGTGATCCATCTTCAATATCAAAAGAAACACCATATTATAGGTTAGTATTATCAGTACAAAAACCATAATGTAATATATCAAAAAAATCATCATCATTATTATTATCTTTTAATTATTTTTCAAGATTTAAAATTAAATTAAATAGTCCACGATCGCTTGAATCATCATCATCTTCAACAAAAAATCGAAATGGTCCTTATGTTTCTCCAAAGCAGGTAAAATTCAAGAATAATACAATATCTTTATTATTCTGATTTTACTAACTTGTGCAAATAATTAATAAAAAAGTCACGACCTCCAAAGACACCCAATCCACCTTCACGTTTATCTCTTCCCTCAACGTCAACATGTTCTATCTCGCCGGCACGACCATCATCGATGGTACCTCTACAAGAACAAACTCAACGCTATGACAATTTTCAAAACCAACCCGAACAATTTAATTATAATATGAATAATAAAAATAGTACCAGTAATGCTAGTAATTATAATAGTGCTAATAATTATAACAATAATAACATCAATGAAACGGTATTTAATGGTGAGATGTGGAATAATGGAGCTGGAGAATACCAAGGATTTGATGGAGGCGGCGCAGTTGATATGCAAGGATCTATTAGTTCATTTGCACCTCAAAGTCAAGTATTATCGGCTCCGGCGAGGTATGAAGATTTATTGGATTCTTTTTATTGTTTAATTTTTTTGGTTCTCAAATTTTAAATATGCTTTTTAGATATAATCAAACTTATGTTGCATCAACTCCAGTGAACAACAGTAATCTGGAAAAGTTCAATCAGTCTGAATATTCAAGAAATCTGTTTTCTCAACAGACCAACGCAACCCCATCCACTACATTTTCTCGTCCTGGAACATCATCAAGAACTCGTATGTCATGGAACTCTCTACATGGAGTAAGTGGAGGAGGTGGTGTTGGGACCTCTGGACGACCTAGTACAGCGCGTATTAATACACGGGGTAATTTTTATTTATCTCACCGAGAATTCTAGAAGTAACAATATTAGTGTTAATAATAAAGCTTTTCTTTTCGCTGCGCAAAAGAACAGCCTCTAGGTTAACTACGCCTAGTCTTGCCACTGTTCCATCAACACCGATGAATGGTTCGGGTCAATATCGATATCCGTCGAATTCTGAACAGCAGCAGTCCATGCTTGGACCTCCCAGAACTCCTATGACTAGGAATAGAAACGCATTACCAGGCTTTATGAACGGGGATGAACGGCAATGATGATTTCATGAAATGAATTGGGCTTATTCTATAAACTCTAATTTATTCCTGTAATTTGTAATTGTAATTGTATATGATGATGATTGTAATTTTATTGAGAAAAATAGTATTACTATAATAAATGCACACAATTCAGACCATCCATAAAAATTAGATCATACTTTTATTCTAAGTTTGTAAACAATGTAAAATTAAAAAGGAAGTATTTTCTTCAAATATTCCAATATAATCCAAACTTGAACATAAAGAACAGGCGAGAGTATGTGAGAAAAAAAAGTATAAAGAGGCGAGGGAAAAAAGATGAAAGTGGGATAGAGAAAAGAATAATATCTATATACATTTAGTTATCAAAAGATATAACCCATTTTAAGATTTATGAATCGAATGGCGGTGATAAGACGAATAATATATATATTATTCGTTTTAAGTCTTTGTTGTATTCGCAGCTGTTGTATTCGCTGGAGTTGTATTTGCGGGTGGAGCAAAAGTCAAACGTTGCTCATAAAATCTTATCATCTGTAATAGATTGATAGTAAAAAATTTTAATATTTGCAAGAAAAATTGTAATTATCATCATGAGATACCTTTTGTGGACACTTGAGGTTAGCTTCCCTGCTTGGATGCTTTGACGTTTCTCCGTTAGTCCTTATTTATTAGTGAAAATGAGAAATTGTGAATCTAACAATCTAAAAAATTCCTTCACTTCCCTAGCATTAAATCAAAGGTGGTTGCTTTTTTCCAATATCTTATGAAATTTCATATATTGCCAAATCAAGGTTTTCTAAGGTCGTTAAAAGTAATAAAAGAATCATAACACTCGTAAAAAATAAAATTACCATTTCAAAAAGACCATTAATTCTGAAGTTTTGTCATCACGAGTAACAGTTTCAACAGACACCACTTGATTTTCCCAATCACTCTCTTCGTTCTCGATTTGTTTCTTCCTTTGCTTACGTGGTCGTTGTTCGTTTTCTTCCCTTTTTTCCTTGGTTCGACTACGTTTTGTACCACTTTCAGATTTACTCGAGGACGCTGCACTTTTGGTCCTATGAGTTGATGTGGTGGTTTTGGCTCTTCGGCTAGATTTCAAATTTCCAGACTTGGCTTTTTCTTGAGCTTCTTTATTTGTCCTTTCCCAATATTCGTTTACGAGATCTTCACAGAATCTATCGATTAATAAGATTTCATGTTTAATCGAAGATTATTCGATGAAATTAACAGATTTCAAGCAATTTAAACACTTGATAAACAAAAAACAAGAAATATCCCGTACAAATCCTCTGCACGTTCCCAAGTCATGTCATCTTCACTGTAGCCTTATAACGTTTAGCGTGTACATAAATCACAAGTCACAAGGGATCAAAGCATGAGTAAAAGTATCGCGCGTGAAAGAAGAAACGGTGAGAATCGATTTTACATATACCTTTCCATTTTATCAAATATGTCATTTTCCCCTATTAAAATGAAAAAGTACGCGGATCCAACACACGCGCAGACACGTAAATTAGAATTGATATAATCGGTTAATCTTTGGATTCTAACTTGTTATTTGTTCTTTACTTACCGCCTTTCTCTTATGGTCCATAATCATCTCTACTTCATATTCGCCCTCTGGGGGTGGTGACCCATCGGAAGCCGTTTCTTCCTTCTCGACTTTATCCTCTTCAATAGTGGCACCACCATTAGTTTCCTTTTTTTCCTCACCAATCTCTGCAGTTTTAGCATTAGTGGTCCCGTTGTCCGAGGGTTTCGTTTCTGGTTTGGCCACCTCACCGCCGACCTTGTTTGTCGCTGATTCTTCTTTGGAGCTTTCAGCGGTGACGCCTCCCACACTTTTTGTTTTTTCAGGGACAGTTTCGGTTGTTGCGCCGCCTTCAAAATCTACAAGTTCTTCCATGACTGCGTTCACTACTTCTTCTTCGGTCTTGTTTTGTGTCATTATATGTAAAAGAAGTTGCGGCGGGATAAATGCAAACTATTTTATTTATTTTGTTTGTTTTGTTTTTTGTTTGTTTATTTAAACTTTTTTAGAAGTCGAGCTTTGTTTTAAACTATGCTATTAGTTGTAGTGTATCAAAAAGGAGAAAAGAATAATATCGCAAATGAAAACCTGTAAAAACTACACACAAGTCTTGCAACTGGCTTTATCTCTCTCGCTATTCGAATATCGTTTATCAAATCAAATTAAAATTATATAGCAGTAAAAGTAAAAAAAGCAAAGCATCACCTAATAATACAATGGGGAAATATAAATCATATATGATGGATCAACCAATTCTCGAAGACAAAACGCGTCTTTCAACGTGTGAACTATTTTAGCACTTTTCTTTGTCCATTAAAATTAAAAAATTTACAAAATGCGAGTAACAAATTCTATGAACTCGACGAGACTTTCCTTTGCTCATCAAGTGACAGTATCATTTGCCGTCAAACTAATCATAGCTTTTATTAAACATCTGCTCTTCATGCGAGGACAAATACCATGGTTGGTCTTTCAAGTTGTTCGTTTTGGAATCCTCTCTAGAATGCGATACTCTGCCATTTTTAATTTTTAGCCTTTTCTCACAAGTGGAAAAGCTTTCGCAAAGGACTTTTATAGTTAGAAGTGATTTTAAATATATATTCATGTTATTGTAAACAAAACTCATTCACGAACGATTAAGCATTCGTTTCCTTTTCTCCAAAAAATTAGAGCGCCCAAAAAAAGAAAATATTTGAAAGAAAAATTTTCGATGTGAGCTACCATCAAAATTTCATTCTATTTATTAAGATTCAGGATTTCCCATTCAACATGTGCAATATCTTTCTCTTCAGTTGTTAACGAATGCCCAGAATCTGTTTGCCTCAATCGAAACCACATTCAATCACATCCTTGACAACAGCCATCACCATCAAAAATTCATCCCCGTTTTAAATTTCGCCATTATCCTTGGAAATACAGTGACAAATCCAAAAGAAATATATCTCTTGGAATTTGCGAATGTTTATGCTGACCATGTACTGGAATTAAACGAAAATACCTGCGAGAAACTAAAACAACACGAATTGACAAGCGAGCGGAAATTTTCACGGGAATTAGTGACAGCGTTTAATGATGAACCATTAGGTACTTATCGGCAAATTATTTAAATTTACGACGTGAAATACTGATTATTCTCAAAAATAATGATTAGCACCAACACGTCTTCATCTTTTATTCCGAACATCACGTAATAATCCTCCTCCTGAGCTGGTTCCCAAACAATTCTTCAAATTAAAGAATACCAGCAAGATTCCAACCTGTATTATCGTATGTGAAGGATTGCTACTAAGTAGTGATCTGGACTTAAAGATAACGAAGCAGACAAATTCGATTCCGGACGCAAATGACGAGATGCCGAGACATAGCGAAACGTTAAATTATGAGGATATGATCAGAGATTTCAATGAAGAAAACAAGATTATCTCGAAAGAAAAAGATGCAACTGACTATGTTGAAGGTGAAATAAGCAAGGATATTATGATTCATTTATGTACAAAATAATTGCTATAAGATTATTTTCTGATCTGCTTAGATTTGCAAAATAGTCGTCGTTTTCACCACCACTACGATAATACTGTTATTCATGATTCAGCTCAAAACAATAAAAGTCACATACAAGAAGCCAAAACTTCTGCTAGCATAAAAAATAACGAGTTGACCGAAGGAGAGCGTTCTGATGAATTTACTATAAAGAATGGTTGTGCATCAGAAAACGAAAAACAAAAGGAATCCAGGCGAAAAGATTTGACAATATTGAAGAAGCTTGATTCGGAAGAGCTTCTGTGCATAATTTCTGAAATCGATAATATTAACGACATTAAAACTAACAATGACCGCGAAAAGGAGAAAAGTTCAAAAGAGGATGAGTTGACAAAAGAAATTCATGATGATCTCATTTGGTATCGTTGTAGAAATGTATTGATAGGATTTCCTGCTATATAGAAATGATATGTATTAGCTTTACAAGATAAAAGAGAAAAATATCATAAGATGAACTTGATTCTTTTACTCTGATATAAAAAAGTTTAAAGAATTTTTCTTTGTTCTGCTATTGACGAAATCTAAAAAAAATCTAGCAATGAATTACCAACTAAATCGCAAACTTGATGTGTGTGTGAAAAATGCTGATTTTATGAGGAAAATGAGAAGCAATGTAATAGTAATACTAATACTAATACTAATGATATTTCAATGTTCTTATTTCATTCATGTAGAAAAAAGAGCTTACTGCAACACCAAACCATGAACTCTCACTAAATTTAAAACCCCCCAAGCAAAAAAAAAGAATCTCGACTCAGTTTGAATGATTGTGTGTAAATATACTATGCGCTTGCGTGCTTTATTAAAAACCAAAAAAACAAATTAATATTCTGTCAATCATGTAAAGAAAGAACAGTGAAGGACAATAATAACAATCACCTTTCGAACGAACTCCTTGGCAGTCTTAATAAATTTTGTCCTGTTTGTATTGTATACCTCTGCTATAGAGGCCACTAAAGCATCATCCGGGTTTGGATTTTCTAATAGATATGCGATCGATTCGAGCACTACAATCATTCAAAATAAAATTAATAAAATTTTCAATTTCTTCTAATGAAAATATGCAAGAAACCGAAAAAAAATACCTTGTGCTATCTTTGTGGCTGGTTTCCAGACGTCCGATTTTAGTAGATTTACACAGATCGAACCATCCTCGTCGATATTGGGATGATATATTCGTGTGATAAATTTAATCTATCATTATTGATATTAAGCAAAAAAGTGGGATGTTTACAAATAAAGTCAGATATTATGTGGTTAATATGAACAATTAAAAATCACACGTACTGAAGGTGGTTTAAATGGATAATCTGTAGAGAATTCAATCTTGAGGCGAAATATGCCACCCTTATATGGACTATTAGGCTATAAAAATGAAGTTACGCATGATAAAGATTAGAAAAAGTTCCAGGTCAACTTTCATAAGTGATTCAAGAGGTAAAGAATACATACGGGTCCGAGAATTGTACCTAAATGTAAATTTGAACAAGAGCAGAGCAAATTAAGAATAAAGACAATATCATATGAAAACTGGATGAATCCAAAGTTATATGTGAAAAAAATACAGTAAAAATAAACACTGAAATGACTAATTACCTTGCCATTGAAACATGTCTTCCTCGAGTGGACCAGCGCTCACTCCAACCGGAGGGTTTTTATTAAGTTCAAGAAGTTCCTATGTAACAAAACCAAAGATGTTAAATTTACCAAAATTGCACCCACCCTCAACTTTTGATCAAGTCTCCTGAATTTGTTTACCTTATTAATGCGTTTAAGTGCCATTTTTTTACGAATATTTCACAGCTATAAAGGATAGAGATAATTCAAATCTATAAATAAATAATTATTTTAAAGAAAAGTTGCTAATTATCGTTATGCTTAATGATTGATTGCTATATGGCCTATCACCTTATTTATAGAAAAAAGAATAGATATGACGCCACCACAATCAACCGCGTAATTAATTACTGGTCATGTTCATTATATTTCTATGCCTGCTGCGCACTATATCGATATGTTTTCTTTTTTGGGTTGCTTTACAATTGTATGATTGGTTTATAAAAAAAAAATATATCCACAATAATGAGTTTTAACGTCAAGATTTTCTTCGTTTATCCCCTTTCGTTATATTCACATTGTTAATCGAAAACATAACGATAAATAGTTAGTTTACTATTGATTCCATTATGGTTAAACTAAAGGTGGAATTCGATTTTTTCAAAATTTTAGATACTCGAGATTTACTGGATTATCTGCTTAATATGACCAATTAATTAATAAAGTACTTAATTAAATGTTGGATACACCTGAAGTCGCTACCTTTTTCTTGAAGCATTGCAAAAATTTTGTTATTATTCTTCAACCGTATGTTTCTGCTGGACCATCCCCCCCTCTCTCATTTAGGTTGGACGAAGGTGGAGATAGATTCTTTCTTCAGAATAGAAAATAATATCTAAATGTTTTATTTGATCAATTTTCTTTGCATTTAAATGTCTGGTGTGGTGTATAATAATTTGTGTGCGTTAAGTATAAAGACATAGAGAAGGAAAATACTACAATAAAGGTATCCAATCAAACTTTCACGAACAATTCCGTTAACTTCTATAATATTCGAAGTTAGCATCAATACACTTTCTTACTATAATCACTATTATTTTAGTGAAATTTTGTTCATATCAACATCAGCATTTTAACGACAAACTGGATTCGAGTGAAATTTATTTATTTTAAAAAATAATATAATCATATTAAAATAGATAAATAGATAAAAAGAAATAAAAAAATAAAACGAAAAGAAATCAATATTCTATAAGAAATTCTGTTCTTTAGAATTCAAACGCCTAAAATATAAATAATTATTAATTGTATATATTTTTTTTTAATATTAACACCAACTTTTTCATCCCAATCTTTACGTTGTATAACAACTTCCCCTTCTATATCAATACCACTATTTATATTAGTGTATTCAATATTAGTTCACCACCACTGGTCAAATGCACGTCGACAATTTATTCCTACTGTGCATGACACTTAAAGACTGAAATAAATTTGGAAGCTAATGAAGTGGTACAAGAAAAAGGAGGCTGCTAATTTGTAGCTAAATCAATTTATTACAAATTATCGGCCCCGTTTTAAAAATTAAGCGTTATAAATGATCTTAAAGGCAAAATATATTAATAGCATTTTGATTAGAATCGGAGATAAAGTTATTTGCACATGCCCTCTTTAAATGCATGCTTATGACTGGCCCTGAGGGAGTGCATTTAACATTATTTCATATGTAGATTTCGAGATATTGATCGATTTTATTTAAAAAAGATCGCACTTTCTCAGCGCAGTGTCAAAGTTTAACGCGCGTTGTGTCATTTGTTCATCATGTGACATTCGTTTCGGTTAAATTTATGGGTAAACTATTTTGCTCGAAGGCGATATACTGCGCTTAGTATTATTAAGCGAAAAGAAAAAAGAAACACTACCAGTTTTCTTTTTTGAATTTGTAAGCAAAAGCGCAGAAAATATATAAATGTTCGAGTTCTTTACAGATCCTGTTTGAGAGAAAGATTTAAAATCTATATTTTTTGATATATATTTATTGTATTGTGTAAATTCGAAAAAAAAATATCAGATCATTTTTTTGCTTTTTTAAATTTAGGTAAGTTTTTTTTTGATATTTGTTAATTAAATAATTTTTTTTTAGCACGCAAAAGAAATAGATTGTAAATTGAATATTGTGAACTTTTGCCTGGGGCCTACAAAACATGACATTGAGAAATGCAGTTATTATCTAATCTCATACATTTTTCACTACATATATAACTACTAAAACAGAAGAGATGGGGCGCCGTCCAGCTCGTTGTTATCGTTACTGCAAAAATAAACCATATCCAAAAAGTCGGTTTTGTCGTGGTGTCCCTGGTAGGCTTTGGAAAAATTAGATTTAGACTTTTATATACATTATTTCATTTTTTATAATGAATACGCTCAACCAATCAAACTCAAAAACAAAAGATCCCAAAATCAGGATTTTTGATTTAGGCCGTAAGAAAGCCAACGTTGACGAATTCCCACTATGCATTCATTTGCTCTCTGACGAACATCAACAACTCTCCAGTGAAGCATTAGAAGCGGGACGTATCTGTGCCAATAAATACATTACAAAAGTGGCCGGGAAGGATTCGTTCCATCTTCGCGTGCGTGTTCATCCATTCCACGTTATTCGGATCAATAAAATGTTGTCATGTGCCGGTGCTGATAGATTGCAGACCGGAATGCGTGGCGCTTTTGGTAAACCAACCGGTACAGTTGCACGTATCAACATCGGGCAGATTATTTTTTCTGTGCGTACAAAGGATGCTAATAAGGCTACTGTTATTGAGGCTCTTCGTCGTGCTAAGGTAAATGTTTGCATACAGAATTACCATATTGTTCTTGATCTTTGAGTTAATTCGCGTCTTTCTTTTAGTACAAGTTCCCTGGTCGTCAAAAAATTATCATCTCCAAAAAATGGGGCTTTACAAAATTATCTCGCGAAGATTATGCGGAGAAACGGCAAGCTGGTCTTTTACAGCCAGATGGTGCTTATGTAAAATATCTATCACATCATGGTCCTCTTGCCGCTCATCTGAGTCAGATTGCTGCTCTGGATAATTAATTAATTTAGTCGAGATATTATATCATATGTAATATGAAATTTTTATATAAATTATGGTTTTACAACTTTTTTCCTATTTTGTTTTCTATCTATATGCACGTTAGAAAATATAGTTCAAGATTTATTGAAATTCCGTGATTAATTAAAATCCATAAATCATCTATTTCAAAAACGCTATATTGTGTGTTTCCCTTGTACATTTAATTGTGACATTGAAAGATCAGATTGCAATTTTGAAGAAATTGTAATAACTAACCTATGTAATAAAAATTATGTTCAACACGAAATTCGAATCAAAAAATTTGCTTACGCCACATCTTCATGACTTTCAAAATTACTGACAGCGGCTTTTTGATCTAAATCTCGAATGATTCATGGTAACGTGCTAACATGACTGATCCGAACAAATCTTTTGCATGCTGAATTTTGATAATATGTCAGAGCTTTGCTGTTTTCTAATGAAAGACAATATCTTACTATTAATCAAAGGATAAGGGATGCATGGTTTCTGCATTCATATTATAGCTCATCAGAATTAGCAGTGGTGTTTATTGGAGCTCTATAAAGAATATTCCATGCGATATTCATAAACCCAGTGCCGGTGGTAGGTTGACAAGAAGAAACAGTAATTGGATCTAATGGGTCTAAGGGAGCTGACAGGCATTGAGATGTATAATTGTATGGGTGAAGGAGGAATGCATCCTGTTTGTGAATAACAGAGTCAATAACAATATGCCAATTATTTAAAATTTTGAAAATATATTAAAGAATTTGTTACCTCATAATAAGATTCCCCGGAGCACCATCTATATATTGTAGTTTCTGGTGCTGGTAATGTGCTTTGTACAACTATATTTTCAGCCTGATTCCACGCAATCCTATTACAAGATTAATCGTAATTTCAATTAAACTGTCATTATCTTATATGAAACATAATCGAGAAATTAATCAATCATACACAGAACCACCATCCGGGCCATAAATAATCATTGGATTCTTGCATCTCTCGAAACTCTGCTGCAAAAATCCCAGATGAAATCTATTTTGGGTAGGACTATTTCGTGACAGATCGCATGCCGCCATTTGTAGTATTGGATTATGTGTTGTATCAAGGCACAAGTATCTGTATACTGTTTTTTATTAGAAACCAATTGAATTAATGAGTTTATCCTATTCGATAATTATATTCACTTACAATTTTCTAGAGTATTTGCGTTGTGAGGTGGAGCGACAGCGGATCCATGACTGTAGATAAAATCAAAAAAGAAAAGTGATGTTATCGTTATTATTATTATTATCGTTTTCGATGTCTTTGGTGATAAAATTTCAACGAAAGAATGCATCATTGTTTATTTCCGGTTTGGGATCTCTTTAGTCCTCTCTAATATATATATATAGCGATAGGGGGGTTTGATCTCTATTGGATTTTTTGGTCTTTATTGTCCATTATCTATCATTTGACTTATCCTATTCCGTATTTGGATGATTTCCCCTTGCAGATACCTATACTCATTCACGTTCGCATATCTACTTCTGCATATTTTCGGAAAAGAATGTCGCACCATAATAAAAACAAAGTTTCAAAAAATATTTTGGCATATAATATTCGGAAGAACATGTATTTTGACAGATTGGTCGCCCACGCAAGGGTACCCCGAGAACATATCTGTGCTGATGGTCCGGACAGCCCTTTTCCTTTAATACCTAAATAAATAAATAAATAATAATTGCAAAACTATTTTGTTTCATTATCTGTTCTCATACGTATCTCGTGATCGTGCCCTTAAACGCGAATTGTTCTTTGTTTTTACAAGGCCCAATGTCCCCCGTTGTCGCTCATTACTAGCAGAAAGCAATGTGGCCTCCAATTTATAATTTACCGTTACCAGAGGTCAAATCTTTCATTGGTGTTATTTTCGCCGTGACTGGAAATGTAATTTTACTTTTTTTAAATAAGCTTAGATTCACTGACATATTTTACGCGTGTCTTCATACTTTTCCCATTTCCCTCTATTTTCAAATAAAATAAAACTAACCATCATGTGACTTGCTTTGACGTGCCTCTCGTTAGATTTTGATTTCAATCGCCCTCAACGTTCAAAAATACGCACATAATGAGTTGGAAGAACTTCAACTCAGCAAATTACGTCCTGCGAACTATTCAACTACTAATCGTTCGCACCGTCCACCTTCTGACAGATACGAAGTTCTTTTAAATCCTGAAACGGATGACTATCTATATCTGCATTCAAAGGCTTGGTGGCTTGGTATACTGCTTATGATAACCGGTGAGTTTCGCTTGAATTTGTACTCATTTATTCGATGTCATATATTATGAATCAACAACGAATTAATTACTTTGTCACTAATTTATTTAATTTTAGGGGAGGTGGGCAATTTTATTGCCTATGCTTTTGCTCCAGCTTCTTTAGTAGCACCATTGGGAACAATTGCTTTAATATCAAATGTGATTCTTGCTCCAATTATGCTTAAAGAAACTTTTCGAAAGCAAGATTTATTAGGGATAGTAATCGCGATTTTTGGTGCTATTGTCGTCGTCATCAACTCTAAAGCTGATGAGGTTAAGGTTGATATCTTTTAACGCAATTTTGCTGAATTTTATGTCCATATCACTATCTCAGATTACACTCATATATCCCTTGTGTTATTAATTTTTATAGCTGGATCCTGCTGCGATAATTGCTGCCTTGTCAAAAACAAACTCTCTAATATACTTTGCCATAACCATCTCCCTTATATTTTTTCTAATGTCAATATCTGATGAGATTGGTCCACGTTTTATATTTGTTGATTTATCGTTAGTCGCGTTATTTGGTATGGTGATTTTTTCTGTTTGCCATTTATTATTTATTTTCATAATTATTTCTACACTGCATGGTATAACAAACGACCTATTTATACATAATCAATTTCAGGTGGTTATACCGTGTTATCGACGAAAGCAATTTCGTCTATGCTTACCATGACATTTGTTCTGATGTTTGAAGCAGGGATAACTTGGGTTTTATTGTTTGTATTAATCGTGACTGCGGTTGCACAAATAAAATATCTTAATAAAGCATTGCAAAGGTTTGATTCAACGGTGAGTTGATTTCGAATTAAAATTTGGATTTTTTACTTGATAAATATCTGACTATTATGATTTTATTAAACATTAAATCAATTGGTAGCAAGTAATTCCCACACAATTCGTGTTATTTACTATATCCGCGATAATTGGGAGTGCAGTATTGTACGATGATTTTGCAGAAATGGATTTTTGGAAAGGTCTCTATTTTTTGGCTGGATGTCTAATGACTTTTTTTGGCGTGTTTTTTATTACCTCGAACCGTAATAAACCGGTACTAGGAGATCATCAATTAGTAAGACAAACACCTTCTCGTGTAGGCAGTCTACTCATTGATCCTTTTCATCATCCTGTTCGGTCAGATAGTCATGCTATGTACAATGGAGTTAATGATTTGGAAAGTAGTTATCATCCCTATTCTCTTTATGGTAGTCAACGAACAAGAGCTACTAATATTCCACGACGACATTCTCTGTATTCAAACGAGACACATTCATCTACGCCTTTGTTGCATGGCGAATATAATCGACATGATAGCTTATTGCGTACAATGATGCATGGAAGATTTTCCACTTCATCTTTAACAGCAGGTGTAAGTCAAGCGTTGAATTCTGTTGGTGCTCGTCATTCGCATGCACTTGGATTAGGTATTAACTAATATTTTGAATAATATTATTGCTAAATATTCTCGGATATGCGATTATTCTTATCAAAATTATGTCTTCTATTAATTTTTAGGTCAAGTTTTTGAGAATTACTTGTTGAAAATGGAGGAAGAGCAGAACATCAACTCAATAAATAACGCAGACACCAATGGTATACATAGGCGTAGTCTGTCAGTACCACCTCCCAATGCATCTCGACGGTTTCCATTTCCAACTTATCAATTAACTAATGGAATAATGCAAAATAGTCCACTGAGCAACATTCTTTACCACAACAACAATAATAACAATAACAACAACAACAGCAACAATAATAATAATAACAGTATTAATAATAATAATCGGCAAGACATATATAACAATAATAGGGCAAACTATGAAAGTAGTAATGCAAAATCCCCGACAACATCATATCTTAGCACCTCATACACAAACTCTTCCTATTACGATGAAACATCCGGCTACAACACTGATTCAGTAAATACAGATGACGAGGTGAGAACGGTCAGTGGATTAACGACAAGTTCAGCAAATAGCAGCCAACTTGGGTTGTATTCAGGTAATGACGCGGAAAGTACATATGACGCTTTTCCCGAACTTGATTATTTTCAAAGTCCAGACGATTTGCCGGATTTACCATACAGACGGGATACTAGTCGAGGTGGCAGTGGTAGAGGTAGAAGAGGTGGTGGTGGCGAATTATCGGAAAGTGAGGGAGAAGAGTAGCATATCGTTTGTTTTTATTATATTATTTATTTCTTATTTATTTGAATGCACAAAGGAAATTAAAGTGCAAAGGTCTGTTGTAATTTTGCCGGTTATATAATATTTACATAATCTCTTCATACCTTATTTGCTTTTTCATTAATCATTTATGTTTATATAGCAAGCAATTCATTCACTTCAAATAGACAATCTCAAATCATTATATTCTTTATCTTAATTTTTATTGTTATTATTACCAACGGCAAACCTCATTTATTGTTTTAATATATTAGATGTAAAATTTCGTTTTTTTCAAACATTCCTTTTCTATAATGCTTAATTTGTTATAATTTCTGCACATTTTGAAGGACATTTTTTTGCATTCTATTATCGATCAATTTTGGGGAAATGTTGTAATTTATTGTTTTTAGTGTACCTATCCGTCAGTTAACACACACTTCCTTATTAAAATAATCACCATACACCACACTTCGCCTTTATTTATTAATTGACTAATATATAATAAACACTTGGAAAATTTTTCTGTAAATACCGTAACGATATATGTTTCTTGACTTCATATTTTTGTATTCAATTTGAAACTTTATTTGGAAGGGTGAACAAATTACGCGTGATTAAAAAATAATGTGAAACTAACTTGCTAGGTATTTGGCTACCGGGCCTCGCGATCTTCAGTTAGCTAAACAGCCTCTTGGTTTGATGGGTAAATCATCACTCAAAGTTAAAATTGAATAAGTTCTCGCCTCACCGTGGCTTTATATTAATTGTGATGTTTGATTATTATCGTGATAAAATTCGAAACTAAAATAACTTTATTATTGTTAAATAAAAATTAAACAACAATGATTATCTAATTGAATCCAATTGAGATTTTCATCTCTAATATCGTCTCTCTCGTCTCTGTAAATACAGGAAGTGGCTGATCTTTCGGAATTACTTGGACAGATTTTGCTCCTTTAATTAAAGAACGAATGTTTTCTGTGCATGTATTAAAAATAGTCGGATCCGGTGTTTTTTCGGTATTCTCTATATAAACTGAAGAAAAAAGACATTAAACTCGAGGGTTAAAAAATATAGCAGCACGATAAAAAAAAGAAAAGTAATAACTTATGGGATTTATCTGCTTTTTATATACGTCTATTAATACTCGTGCTGTTGCACATGCTGATAATATTACTTCGAAATCACTATCGGCTTTTGGATCATCATATTCAGATTGCTAATAGCGAGTACATAATAAAAATAGTCTTAATTTTGTAATTAATATAGCAAAAAATTAACCTCAAATAGAAATACCTCCAGGGGATACTGGGATTTGATAATAGACGACGTATTATCACCTAATCTCCGTGGTAAGCGTTGATATAGTTCCTCTGACACAAAAGGCATGAATGGATGAAGTAATTTAAGACCTGCTTCCAAACATGTAAATAAAGTGTCTTGGGCGGATCTTTGACGTATCAAGTCAGCATCGGCATAGAAGAACGGTTTAATCCATTCCTATAGTAGGGCATGTTTGAACGAGCCATTAATATAATAAAATATTATTTTGCTGCATATAAAATACTTGCAATATAAACGTCACAGAGCGAATCTCTCCAGAATGCCTGTACTACTCTGGTAGCTTCTTTGAAATTTCGTTCATCTAGAGCTTTGTTTGTTTCGATTACAGCTACATTTAATTTGTGCAAAATCCATCTTTCCGCTAAAGATTCTCTGCCGGTTTTCTATATTAGCAAAATTCAATTAGTCCGGGTTAAAAATATATTTAACTGAGATCTTTTTACCCGAGGAGTTTCTTGTGTCTGAAAACTATCTCCCAATTTCATTAACGCAAAGCGAGTCGCATTCCAAAGTTTATTACAAAATCGGCGATTGCTTTCTAGCAGAGATATATCGAGATTGATATCACGAGCTGGCACAAATAACAAAAAATTCAGAATAAGCTAAACCAATAATAAGACAATAGATTAAAATATTAAGAGCAACCTTCATTGGTACTGTAAGAGCATAAAGTGAATCGCAAAGCGTCTGTTCCACATTCCGGAATTCCATTAGGATAATCAGCTTTTTGACCAGCCTTCGCTTTTTCAATTTCTCGCGGGTCAAGATTTCCTTCGTATAGCTTAGCATGTAATTTTTCCAAGGAAATTCCTTCCATTACATCAATTGGATCGATCACGTTACCAAGAGATTTGCTCATTTTGCGACCATGTGCATCACGAATCATAGCATGACAAAAAACTTCACTAAATGGAAGTTGGCCAGTAAGTTTAATGCCAAGCATTACCATGCGAGCCACCCAAAAGAATAATATATCCCATCCGGTTTCAAGGAGAGATGTCGGATAAAATAACGACAAATCATTGGTCTAGAACAGGATATAATTATTAATAAATTTCTAATATTATATAACTTTCTTGTTATTTAACGAATTTCATTACCTGTTCAGGCCACCCAAAAATAGAAAATGGCCATAATCCCGAAGAGAACCAAGTGTCCAATACATCTGGATCTTGTTCGAGCGTAAATTGGACATCAGGGAACTTCTTTTTTGCCTTCTGAGTTGCTTCTTCGAAAGTACGACCTGATACCCAGTACGTATCAACGGATTGCTAATTATTACGCCAAAAAATATCCATTAAATAAAACAATTCTAAGGAATATTATCGCTCATACTTACATCTTGTTGTATTCCTTCGATTTTAACAAAATACGCAGGGATTCTATGGCCCCACCACAATTGACGTGAAATACACCAATCACGAATATTTTCAAGCCAGCGGAACCATTCTGCTTCCGAGGTCGATGGGCGAATTCGAAGTTTTCCATCTTTTACTGCCTAACCACCAAAAAATGATTTACTAAAAGCCGATACCTTTGATTTTTCGGAAATTAAATATACCTTTATTGCTTCCGCTGCCATGCTTGAGCAATTAACCCACCATTGAGGCTTCAATAGTGGTTCGACAATATCACCTGATTTACTGGAAAATAATAAGCTTATATTGTTTCCCAAAATGCAATAATATTAAAAGAACCTTAATTCTTACGAGCAAATTGGGATAACCATAGGATTATCTTTGCTTCCTACATATAGACCCTTTTCTTTTAAAGCATCTATTATCGCTCGACGAACATGGTATAGTTTCATTCCCTAATTACAAATAAAAACTATTTTAACTCGAAAATTTCGAATAAATTTATAACTAGATTCACCAACTAAGATACATGCAAGTATGTCTAAAAAGTTGGGTTTCAATCACTATCCAGTCATTAACCTTGCATGGATCTATTCATTCAATTAACCACAAATTCAAAAAAATGTTCATTTTTTTTATGATGAAAGTCTTACTTTAAATGGCGCTCCATTTTCGTTCATAGTTCCATCGTCATTAAGAATATTAGTAAATTCAAGATTATGCCGTTTACCAACTTCATAGTCGTTAAAATCGTGAGCGGGAGTAACCTTAACTGCCCCAGTACCAAATTCCATGTCTACTAATATTTCATCGGTAACAATTGGAATACGTCGTCCATTGAATGGATGGACCACATATTTACCATGCAAATGCTAATATAAAAAATTATATACATGAGATCAAAAGAATAAACTCTATTATACCATTTGAGCTATAATAACCTTATAGCGTAGATCTTGAGGATGAACAGCGACAGCAGTATCTCCAAGCATGGTTTCAGGACGTGTTGTAGCAACAACAATTTTTTCATCTATTATGTAAAATCACGACTCAGTATTGGAAAAATCCTGTGGCAAATTGAATTTAAAAATTAAAATCATCAAGGAGCTTAATACCCGAATCTTCAACGGGATAGGCAAAAGACGTTAAAACTCCAAACTCGAATTTTTCATCCGCAGAGTATCCAGGTACTGATAAGAAGGTACGCCCTGATAGTTCCTTACTTTCTACCTCCAAGTTAGACAATGCTGTGTTAAGACGCACACACCAATTGACTAATCGTGTTGCCCTGTAAATTATTCCTTCTTCTTGTAAACGACAAAAAGTTTCTATGACAGCTTTTGAAAGTTTCTAGTAAGAAAAAAATATTTCATGTAAAGATTTGCAAAGTAACATATAATAGAGCTAAATATTGCATGAGTGATTCCTACTTCATCCATTGTAAAGGCTGAACGGTCCCAATCATAAGATCCACCAAGTCGTTTTAATTGAACAGTGATCTTATGTCCGTACCTTTTATAACATTGTTAATATCATTTGGTGCAAATCATGATATAAAAATGAAACTAGAAATGAAACACACAAATTTTTCCATTTCCAAATTTCTTCAATGAATTTTTCACGACCAAGTTCATGACGCGTTTTCTTGCTCTCAGTCCAAAGTTTCTTTTCAACAACAGATTGAGTTGAGATACCAGCGTGATCCACTCCAGGATTGAATAAAACAGTCTTTCCAAGCATCCGATTCCTTTAAAAAAAAATCAAAAATAAGTAAATTATGGATAAAAAAATAATTGTCGAATTTCTAGTCTACAAACCATCGCACCAATGCATCTTGTATGGCAACGGTCAAAGCATGGCCTATATGCAAAGAGCCAGTGACATTTGGAGGTGGCGCAGGAACTACGAAAAGACCAGCAGGTTTAGGTTTGCCATCTGCTGCCAATTCAGGTTTAAAGTATCCTTCTTTTTCCCACCAAGCATACCAGGCAGACTCGACTGCTCTTGGATTGTATGTTGCTGCCATCGGCTGAGACATATCTTTTATAAATTTATCGTTTGGTAAGTAAAAGTAAGACACGAATAAGAAAATTCTAAAGATTAATCGAACCTTTCTTTTCCCCTTCTGGCGTGCTCTCGACGAATTCTTGAGATTCAAGTGCTTTTTTTGCTTTAGATTTTTCTTTTTTTGACCCCTCAGACTATTTGTAAAGTTATGAGTATAAAACAAAATGGAAGAACATTTTCAATAGAAAAAAAGTAGCTTACACTTGTAGCCGTTGCTGCCTTTAGTTTTTCTTGTTTTGCGAGAAATTTAGCCATTTTTTCTTTCCTCTTAGCCTCATTTTTTTCAGCATTCTTCGATTTTGGAGCGTTAGTGCTTTGTTCTGTGGTAACCGGTGTTGAATCTGTTGAATCAGCCATCTTTTAAAAATTCTATAAATTTTTTGGTTTTCTGAATTTATCGTTATCGTTATAGTTATATGACTCATTTGATAATTCATGCTGCACAACCGATCAGAAACTGCATAAGTAGAGACGGTTCACTTTTTTCATATTAACAATTTATCACTATTACCACCCATTTCACAGAAAATTAAATAAAATATTTCCCTCTGAACACGATGAATCAAGGTAGTCGCTCAGTAAGGTAAAAACTCGTATTTTTCTTTGATTTATATTTCAACTTTTCAATTCACTTTAATTAATGTATAGGACATATAACCAAAAACTCAATCATCGGGAAAATCGTGCTGCTTTATTTAATGAAGCTAGGAGTCCTGCGAACGATGGAAACTTATTAAATGGCGGTTTAGATCTAGAAAGTCAGAATGATGAAAAAATAGAGGGTTTGACGGGTAAAGTAAAACTACTAAAGGAGGTTGGTAATAAGTTATGTTTTCTCGCAATATCCTCAACGTTCTTTTTTATATATATTTATTCTTCATTGATAAACTGCTAGATAACATTAAGTATAGGAGAATCAGTGAAAGAATCAAATACCATACTTAGTAATATGGTAATGATTTTTATTAATTTTGATCCTTGCAATGGAAAAGAAACCATTTCACATTAACTTTACATATTTATATAACAGGCGGACGATTATTCAAAAACAGGCTCATATATGAGCGGAACAATGAACCGTCTAAAAATTCTCTCGGAAAAACAAAGTGGACTATTTATGTGTTATTTAATATTTATTTTTCTAATAGTTTTTATTTTTATCTATTACATTTTTATCCGTTGAAATTTTTATGTGATGTGTATTAAGATTTCAAAGAATAGATACGTGTAAAACAGACAATATGTAATTCTATCAAAATTCTGTCCGTCCGCCCTCCTTATAATGTATTAATTAATTAATTATAATAGCTACCTTTATTTGACAATCTCATAATTATGGTAAAAGTAATAAAATAATAATAATAATGATGATGATGATGATGATAATAATAATAATGATGATGATGATGATACGTGTAAGATAATAAATTGCCTTGGATCAAGCAATGTTCTACTTCTGAATTCATCTTGAATGGAAAAACAAAGCTTAACCTTTAACGTTAGCTTTGATAAAGATGTCAGATATCCATAGCCTTAGGCTCCGGCATCACAATTCCAAAAAGTTGAAGATCAAGCCAAGGATAAAAATTGCGCTATATATCTTAATTTCTCTCTTTAATTTGGTCTTAAAAAATTTCATCAGCCCGTACTTGCATTTTAAAGTAAATTTTATGTTTTTTCCAAGACAAATAAAGTTTCTTACACGATTCTCAACTATTTGTAATTTAAATGCCGTGAATTTTTACAGATAGCAACACAAGTGTGTTTATAAATAAAACTCTTGTATATTCATTTTCACTTGACATCAAAACCATGTCTTTTGAGTGTTCACTACATGGTCGTATTTCCGATACCCTAAAACCAAAGTTATTTGAACGACTTATGGGAATATGTGGTAACGAGCCTATCGATATCTTTGAGTTGGAATTAGGTTTCGTTCCAACCTGTAAGTATGCGTCCACATTTATTTAAAATGTATCTTTTTTTCAAGATTCATATATATCTATCTATTATTATTATATGCGAATAGTTCAGACTCCCGTGGGACCGGCTCGTAATGAGGATGTTTTACTCAGACTTAAGTCTCCACTCGAAGAAAAAGACTTGAGTAGACGTCAATGGTAGGAATTAAAAAGAAGTTATTCATTATTACTCATATAAAGAATTCTAACGAAATGATAATTAGGCAATTATGCCACTTTGGACATCCTGAAACAACGCAGAAAAAAGTTAGTGTTCGCCCTGTTTTATATTCACGTATAACGCAAGGAAACGCGTTTGATTTTATGCGAGCACTAGGATACAGGTAAGGAAAAAGAAGCGTAATCAACATTAAACCAATGCTAAATAATAGTTCCCAATTCAATCAATTAGTTTTGCATTTGAGTTTGTGAAAAAGGGAAACGTATTTGTTTATGAAGATGTTGTTAAAATATCTATTACTCGAATATATGAGGTATATTTTTATCTTGTTGATTTATTGAGTTTCTCTTTACCCTCATTCTCATCGTCAGCATTCCTCTTTATCTAGTTAGAAAAATTACACGATCCCACATCCCTCAAACCATTTGATCCTCAAAATTTCTGGGTTGTAGAAGCTTCGACTTTCTCAGATAAATCGGCTATCACACTGAAAGCCGGTGAATTAGAAAAGTTAGCCTCTAATCTGACCGGTATTTTAGATTTGCATCACGTTGAACATTTGTTTCTTCAAAATAAGATTAATTATGGTTGAGGGAAGAAGTGCTGTTGACCTTATTTATGTTAGAACAAGAAATCAAATCGACCATTCAGTTCTTGATACATTGTTGCCGGTGTAAATTTGTTATATTTTATATTCTTAACCCCAAGTTAGCTAGACTCGTGTTCATTTTTACTCAACTGTCACACGTTAACCCGATCACGCAATTAGGCTTTTTTAATTTTCCAGCTAGTAACTTGTTGTAAGCAGGCTAATGGTATCATCCTGGATGACGCAATCTCGTAAAAATGACGCCATCGGGAATAAAGCCTTGACGCCCATCTTTTAATAGTTACGATATTTGTATTACATGTTTCATTGTGCGCTAACGCTTAACTGCAGAGTAAATCATGTTTCACCGATACAATTATCCTCGTCCCCCTCCACCTCAAAATTTTTTTCAAGTTCCGAATGCGTCTACCGAAACCCCACAACGATATCTACAGTTCCGAAATTTTCATGCTGCGCATTTTAGTCGCCCGCATCAAGAATTTTTTCTTCGTGCTTTGAATCCTATTAGTCCTCCTTGGACTCTCTGGAATATTAACGGAGATGAAGGATGGGAACAAGAAGAAGTTACTGGTGACGTGTATTACGAGGAAGGTCCTGAACATGATTGCTGGGAAGAACAAGAGGAGGAGGATGGCAAAGAAAATGTGGAGTTTGTATTGAGTGAAGAGGCTATTGCAATGTTTCGATTTTCGGAGCTACGGAAACTTGAACGTAAGTTGTTTATTCGCACTTTCTTTTTCGTATTTCAATAGTCAAGCTAAATACGTCGATATTTATTTGACAAGTTGAAAAAGAGTATTCGAAAATCGAAGAAAACAAGAAAAATAATCAGGATAAAGAAATCTCTTATGAAGAAGAGGAGATATGCATGGAAGAACCTCATCCATCTTATATTCGGCCAACCCCATTCTCTTGTGAGCAGATGCGAGAGTTATATGGTGAAAATCGACACCGGAGTATCGAGTGTTTGGAGGCCGCGGTGAATGCTACTTTCGAACAAAGCTTTCTTAAACGAATTAATGATAGTCGAAAATCGATCGTTGATGATAACCACAGTATTAAAGAGGAAGAGGAGATGGATGTGGTTTATTGGCCTATTCTACCATTACGTTTTGTATAATCCTATATAAAGAGCTTTTATTTCAAATAATGAGACTCCTATTTATCTAGATGATGATAACAAATTGGTACGTATAATATAAAAACTACTTCACATATTTGTTGATTTTTCCATAATGATGAAGAAAAGATATCATCCTTGTTCTTTGAGCGATAGAGGAGAGGACGACGACGAAAAAGAAAAAAGTGCAAGGGGTTATTGTCATTCTTGATGATGATTTTTTTACTTTTTTCCAATTCATTCGTTTGCTTTTCCTACTTTTCGCACTGATGAAAAACATCAATTGGCCATATTATGTAAATAACTGAGTGGAAATACTTTTTTTTTTTTCTATTAAAAAAAAAAATCTAAATATATCTTATTTATTAAGGAACATGTCATTTTTTTCTCTATTTATGGTATTTCTGACAATAATGATAATAATAATAGAAAGGAAGACAACAAGGTTCTACATTTCTACTCGTTTGAACTATCACTATATTTCTCTCGATGTCAAGATCGTCATCACCATCACCAACGACATCTCAAAGTTATTTTTGATTGCTTTGATTATTAGGTTCGTGCTTTATTTACATATACAAAGGCTTTTGATTCTTGTTTTTTTTCCGTATGTGTTATGTTTGTTGTTGTCTTTGTTCGCTTAGGAAACAAAGGAAAAAAAGGCATAAAGGAGATAGAAGAATTGGTGGTGAAAAAAGCGAATTGTATATGGGTAATAATAATGACGACACGCAAGATTTCATAATTGTTCTTGTCGTCGTACGTACGTTTGTGTATGATTGTTATGGGGATGATTATATTTTGCGCGAGAAGATCGTTTTTAATGCGAGTTTATTATTTAGAAGTGGGGGAGAGGATTTTTATAAACATGAATCGAAACATATGAAAAAAAAGAAAGTAATGCGCGAAAATATAACCATAAAAAATAATATACACAAAGATCAGGAAAGGAGGATGACGACGACGATGATGAGTTAAAAAAAAAAATAATCTGGATTTCCAAATCTTGTTGAAAGTTGAATTATTGAAATTACTGGCAAAGAATAACTAGCTGTAGTAATAATAGTGGTGGTAGTAGAAATGGTAGTGGTATGTGTGTGTATATAATGCTAAAAATTTTTTTTGTTGACATGATGAATTGTATGTGTGTATATAAAAAAAAGGTTGATATTACAGAATAAAAAATAGTCCGTATAATAGATTGCATCGAAAAGTTTCAAGTCTTCATATCATTACTATTTTTGGATTTTCCAACGTGTTCTAAATCGCACAGAGAAGGATTTCGTGGCTGTGCTCTTTGCTCTACTACTAAAAGTATAATAAAAAAAAAAAAACAATAACCTCTACCATATCATAAGGGAAACGCTACTACCAACTAAAAAGGCAGAAGTACTCAATGGAAGTAACAATTCTAATTAATACAGGTTGTAATGAAAAAGTAAGAAGCAAATCAAGAAAAGAGATAGAGTATATAATACAAAAAGAGGATGGAGAAAAATAATTGCAAGGTTTTTAAGGAACAGATTGCGAAAAAAATTAAGAGCTTGTGAAAAATTGAAAAAAAATTGTGATAATAATTTTACAAATAAAAAAAGAAATTGTATGAATTTGTATGCATGTGCATTGTATAATAATAGCACAAAAGTCCGCATTGATAGTTGCAATTATCTTCACACAATTCAATTATTTGATTTGTATGAAAAAAGACGAAAATAAAGGGCATGGTGAAAGAAAAATCTAATGAAAAGAATAATTAAAAAAAAAGCCTACGGGAAACTTCCGTGTAAAGATCGATTCGAAGTTGCTGCAGTCATTGAAGAACTCGATGGCATTGATATCGAGGAAACTGAAATATGATGGTGTTCTTGATCAACTAAATTGTTTGGAACATTCATCGATAGGGTCGATGTTGATCCAATAGAATTAGAATTAGTTGATGTTTGTGGTGGTGGAATAGTCATTGTAGTGGTCGTGGGTGATACACTAATCGGACCATATACTCCTTGTGATTGATGTGTAGATTGTTGTGATGGGGATGGTAGTTGCTGTGATTCTTGTTGCGGGCTGTCGTCAATTGATCGTTGCTTTTTACTTGAGCGGCGGTTAGGGTTTTGTCCATTTTCATACCGCTGACGTTTTTTGATAACGTCCGTTTTCATGGACAACGGTCGTTTTTCGTGGTGGAGTTTGAAGCTAAAAATATTACGAGTTATTATTATATGAAATTCTTCAAGTATAAATCATTATCGAAAAAAATGGTTTACATACTAAAGCCCGCAGGCATTACATAGCGTTTGTCCTTCCTCATCTCTTCGCCATAATGGTGTAGTCATCGTACCACAATTAGAGCAAACTGGCTGTGTGCTCTCATCTTCTCGTGCGTCTTTCCGCACGATGTGCGGTTTCATCGTCTTTGGTCGGGCCATCTTGTGCAGTTTTAAACTTTAGGCAAAATTCATATCGGTTTAGTTATCAGTTATTTTAAGAACAAATACAGGTAAAACGCAATAATACTTACTATAAGCCGCAAGCATTACATAACAATTCATCATTGGCCGATCGCCGCCAAAGTGGTGTGGAAGTGACACCACAATTGAAACATTGTTGATCACCGCTTGAATGTGTTTTCTTTGGCCGATTTTCAGACGTAGTAGCCGATGAAGTTGTTGACGACGATGTTGAAGTTGCGGTGGTTGTTTGACGGTTTGGTGAATTTGATGAGTTAACGGTTTGTGACTGTGTGACATTAATATTCGATGATGGGGTGGTTGTTGTTGCTGTTGTTGTTGGCGTTGATGAGGTTGATGTGTTAGCATTAGCGTTCGACTGCTCGTTTGAGTATTGATTAACGTAAAGAATATTATTGTTGCCTGTTACTCCTCCCATTAAATTATTAGCCGATAAATTATTAACATTCGAGGAACTAAGCCCTGAATTCAACGCTGTCATGAGGCTACTATTTATATCTGTAGTGGGGGAGTGATTGTGGTTCCGAGGAACATATACGGCACTATGTATTCCAGATGATGATGTACCAACTAATTGCTCGCCAATTTGATATGTTAAATTTGATTGTATTCCCGAAGATGATTGTTGTCCGATTCCTCCATCAGCCGCTGTCACTGATAACATCGAATTATTGTAAAATTCAAATTCTCCGGTGGGGGAAGTGGGTTCAGATGATTCTGAAGAAGAAAATTCAGGAAACCTATTATGCATTGTGCTCATATCCAATTCCATAGTAGGAGCATTACGTGCAGGATTCAAATATACATAAGTATCAAAACCAACAAATTGACCGGGCAGTCTTAAGACCGTGTCTCTTTCTAGATCAGGTAGTCTTAAGACCGAATCACTTTCTTGGTCGCTGGTGTACTGATATAATACGAATTCACTAGAGAAATCATGCACATTGGATAATTCTGAATCAGCATTCACTGTTATGTGTTGATGGTGGTGATGAGGGTGATGAGGATTGAGAACTGAAGCAGTGATATCATTATTTTCCTCATCTAACGAGTCGGAAGCGCGAGTCAAAGGTGAGATATTTTCATCGATAACATTATCACTTGTCATATTTTCTACGTCCATCACGTTAATGTCAAAGGCATAAGAATCATTCAAACTATTACTGTCAGAGACGGTTAAATCATTGCTCATAGTAGTATTATCAATCATAACTTCATCTTCGTCATTGTCTTTCGAAACGATCGAGTAATTATTCATAGATTGTTGTTGACCCTCTGAATTCAAATCTCTGCTCATATCTTCAACAGATGCAATAGCGGTTGTAGGTTCAACTTTTGTAGCAATATTATTGCCCGTACTTATTCCGCTCTTATCTTTTAACGTATTTTTTTGACTATTTGCACCAGCTTTTTTGCCGGACGTAGAAATTCCCTGTGGTCTTTTGTTATTACTATGATTTCCATTACTACCATTGCCTCCAGCACCACCATGATTATTACGTCTGTTCCTTCCTCGTCTACTATTATCATGATGACCTTCCTGACGCGGACGATAAATAGGCGCAGCGAGCTTACTAAGATGTGTAGACTTTTCAGTATCGAGCTTTTTTGTCGTTAGTGAGGATAATCTCCTAAACTTTGACTGAGTCTTCGGATCATGCACCATCTGATGATGCATGAACCAGAGACGCCACGAAAGATTTTCTAAACGTTTTCCGTATTCAAGTGCATCCTTAACTTTTGTCATGAGTCGCCACGTTTTCGATAGGTCCGCCTCGTTTTCTATCGATGAAAGCATTGAGAAGGCTCTATTGCCTTTGATTTTCAGTTGTGTCGGTGCCATTTTTTTTTTAATAATATGAATGGTTGAAATTTATAAGAGATCTAAGGGGATTCGACGGTTGTTGATTTAGATTGATTCTTTATCCGATTATTCTTTTTTATTATTCTTTTAAGTTGCACTCGTTAGTTCACACTCTTTCTTAGATTACAAACAAATACTTAAATTAATTATCTGGGGTTATGGATGGTCAAGGGAAGTGAAATAGAGATTGTTAATTAGTAACCTTGTTTTTTTATTAATATTAATGAAATCATTATTATGTCATGTCAAATATGGTTAATTGGTATGTAAGTATGGAATAAGTAGACGTAGAGAAGGTAAATATTTAATGCAAAAAAAAAATGAAAAAGCGATATTAATGCTGTATGCGAAGGAGCTCACACAACTATTTTTTTTTCACTCAATAAGCCAGCAAGTGCTTAATGTAGGGAAAGGTAAAAAAAGGAAGACAGGGCCTTTTCACTATTCTCTGACCCTTTTCACGTGAAATTCCAGATGAGAGGGCGCGTGCAAATACCGCTTTGTATTTTAAGAACTAGCTAATGCTGGCTACTACTTACTGTTCTGTTCACACGTACACACAACTGTTCAGAGAGCGCGCGCAAACTTCAAAGTGTGTTGAGTGCGTTTTAAGATAAAAAAAAAACACACAACAGACTCACACACACAATAGTGATAAAATAATTATTACTGTAATAATATTTAAAAAAACAGTTGAGGTAGGAAAAAAAAGAAAAAAATCAGAAAATAATAAAAAAAGGAGTAGTTGATATAAAAAAAGTATGGGCGTGGAAATACCTTATGATTGGATGTTATTTTTTTTGTTATTCGGTTATGTTGAATAAAGACAATTTGATATGTTGCCGATGCTAATTGTGTTGGTAGTTGAAAAAACCTGTGAATAATATACATGCATATAAAAAATAAAAAAAACTCGGTAGCCGGAGTTAAGAATAAACTCAGCTTGTTCGATAACTTGATGCCATAGAAAAAGTAAAAGGTCACTTGATAAATACTTGTTTCTTTTGTCACAAATAAATATGAGTAGCACGCAGTATGTGTCAACTTATTATAAATTATTATAAATCAATATAAATAAATTATTATAAATCAATATAAATAAATAATGTAAATACAAAATAATACAATACAACTGATTTTATACATATACATATACATATATATATATATATATATATATATATATATGTATATGTATGTAACGATAAATAAATCTTAAAATCAAATAAATTTGAAAATTTGAAATGAATTCATAGACCCATGATTTAAAAAGACTTAACGAACTAAATAAATCAGTCAACTCTTAAACAGGAAACAATAAATAAAATAACGATAAATACAGTATAACAAAAGTATAGTTTTTTCTCGAAGTCATAGTCGAGTTCATAGTATCGTTCCAAAGTTTTTTAAATTGTTGAAAAATAATAATGCATGTATGTATGCATGTATGTATATACATATGTGTGTCCATTGATCTTTTGGTTTGTATATGTGAAGGTAGAACGCAATGGGAATGATAATATTATGTATTAATTACGACATCATCAAAAGATGAATAAGAAATAAATAAAACTCCACGGGGTTACTACTATAAACATAATTGATAGTATTACTGACAAAGTATCCACAACCGTAATATTCCTAACCCCTCGCTCTTTCATTCACCCACCCAATTCGCCTACCGAAAGGAACTTCAACCATTTCAAAAAAAAAAAAGCGCGCGCGCCCTTAACAGGAAAAAGAAATGCACGCACAATCATTCACATAGCGCGTGAATTTTGCAAGTTTTAGATCATTAGGTCATGCACACATGCGTGTGTATATGCACCACATAATGCACAACTACATAACACGAAAAGGAATGTTGATCATATAAAATTTCGTTAGAAAAGTCCTAATTGTTGTTTTTCAAGTTTTAAACAAGCAACACAAAAAATACTGTTAAAATGTTACACGACGAAGAATCAGATTTTTTTTCCCACATTCATTTACATTATTATTCCATTATAGAAGAACACAAACCGCATGTGCAACTCATTCTCTCTTTCCCCCTGTATTGAAAATTACTTTTAACATGCAGAGCAGATTTTTTACAAATTTACCATACTTTTTTACACTTTTTCCGTCACTTAACAAAAGTTAAATTTTCATCCCATTTTCAATCCTGGCGCAGGATATTTTTGTGTGCAAATTTGTAGATTGTGTGTGTGTGTGTGTCTGTGAACGAAAAGAATGTGCAACAAAAAACAAACACATGTCAATGGAATTATTTGATTGGTTCATACTTATATATATGTTTTTGTTGTTTTGTTGGCGTAATATTTTTTGACATTCTTCACTCAAGAATTTTTTACAAAATTGGACGCCAACTCACAAAATTGGAAAAATATCAAATAAATAATGAAATATATATGTGTGTGTATATATTGCTTCTCAATTTCATTTGAAACAGAGTTTATATTTTCAATACTTGATTAATCCTAAAGAAAAAAAAAATAATCAAGTTTTAAACTCATTTGCCAAAACAAAAAGAATTACAAATATCCCGATTTCTTAAATCATTAGCATATATGTAATGTGTATCGACCGTATGTATTTCCTTAAAAACTTTTTTGATATTAGAGATAAGATATCGATCTCTAGAGTTTAGCTACACAAGAATGATCAAATTGGTTATTGAGTCGTATTAATGTGTTGTTTTATCTCTTCAAGAGTCAGTGGTAAATTTGGTGGTAATTCAATAGCGTAAAGCCGCATGATATGTCCTGCTATATTTTCCATATGTGATTTCATGTCAAGAAAAATAAAATTAAACCATTTTTTTTTTGATGATATACTGGTAAAGATTGAAAAAAAAGGATATCCTCCAATTTGGCCTCGAACAATGACCACCACGGTGGCTCAGTGGGTAATTTGACCTGATATATGCGAGCTGCAAGCCATATCACAGCGCAAGCAATAGTTGGAGGTTGATAACATACATAGATATTTGTTCGAAGGCTGTAGGTGTATGCAACAAAAGAATACAATGGCAATATTAAAAATTCCCGATTCTGCATCAATGGAGATAGCAAATTTACTAGTAAACTCACGCATCATTTAAATATCCCCAAGCCTTTTGTGGGATTTCTTTGTGCTCGGTAAGTTCAAGCACTTGAAGATAATTCACCATTAGACCATATGGTAGCTGCACATGTACGTTGAATCCGAGTCGCTTCAGTATTTGCATTTCTGCAATAACAATCGAATCTTTCATATCATAGAATGTCTACAAATAAAAATAATTACATCAATCGTATGTAGAAAATAATATTATATAATAAGGGAGATTGATTCAAACAAATTGACCTGGCCAAAATACTCTAACGGTTTATACGGCATATTCTGATACCGGATTATCAAATAATGATACACATTAATCAAATCCCTTATTTTGCATGAAGATTCTTGAACTTTTGAAGCGAGGAATAATGCGCCCATACCGATTTCCTGAAACGAATAATAAGGCTTTACGTATGGCAGGAATAAACAGATAAATCCAACCAACAAAAAAAAAATACATGCCAAAACAGTGAATTTTTTAAGAGAAGCCACGTAAAAAAACCGTTGAAAAAGGACTTGTGCAGTTGCCATTGCTACCTGTGGTCTTTCCATTTTTGAAGATGCACCGAAAAATTTACTTCCAGGTTTCTTTAACGACATATGACCAAAAAAAGAGATTTAATATATAAATACAGTTTCATGAGTACTCCAGCGGACTGAATGAATTCACAGCCAAGCTGTCGTAGTGCATCTTCGAGTTCTTCCGGAATGCCATCTTTACGCGAAGGTGTTGCCTCTAGTTGTTCAAAAGTTAGTATAGCGTTTTGAAGTGAAAGTTTAGACATTTTTGGTGTAGCATCACGACCAAACAATCATATGCATCTATTGCGCAGGTTTGTTGTAGAAAGATCATCAATCATCATCTTTTCTGATCAGAATGTTACTTTTATTTCGCAACGCGCCGTTACCAATATTGACTTCAAGGCCTTTTTCATTTGGGGTTCGGTTTTATGCTCAACGTAAAAATCATGCTCGTAAACCTAAAGCTCCGACAAAACTTTTCGCTCCTATATATGACACGGTTACTTTGGATGACGGTAGTTTATTTGTCGCGCGTAAACCCCTTAACGAACCACCACCTATTTCCCCTGACGAGTTGCCACCTCCCATTAAACCAGTAAAGGAGAAAGCATATCACGTCACCGAGGATCAAATACAAGAAATGCAAAGTCTGAGGCTAGAGGATCCGAAAAAATGGACGCGTCAAAAATTGGCCGAAAAGTATAATTGTAGCGCATTTTATGTTGGTATCGTTGCTCCGACAACTGAGAAGGAAAAGCAAAGGATAGCGAGAAGACTTCAGCATAGAATTAATAAATTTAGTGAAAAACGAAAATATTTCATGAAAATAAGGGAAGAGAGGAGAAAATTATGGTGAAAATAGAATCCATTGATCTGGAACGAAATACTTTACTATTGTAGGAATGTAAGAAAAATTTGGATGGAATTCTCGTTAATAAAATTTTTCCCCCCTTGGAATATTTACGAAACGATCTAATATCTACTTATATCTGTAATAAATCAATTAATTTTTCGCGACTCAATGAAGACATAACGTTGGGTCTAAGAAGTCACGTGAAAGATGTATCGATTAGATACAAATTATAAAGCTGCGGATGTTCATAGATCAAAGTTATGTATATCTTTAATTAAAATTCTATAAGGCATTAATTATGATTTACAAATATATGCAACATAATGTATAAAAGACAAACAAATAAATTAATACTCGCGACACGTAGCCTATCGGATACGTGTACTGAGACACGAGCAATCTCGGCTAAATCGATTTGCTTAAACGCAAAATGTCATATTGCGTCAAGGGTGGATTATGATGATTATTTTCGTGCATAAGGTGTAATTGTTCTTCAACGGCTGCCGTTTGTGGATTACGAAGCTTTTGCTTGTAATAAGATAACGCCTCATCAAGTGGCAAATGATCGGTCAAATTCCTTTATGCCACGATATCGGAAAGTGAATAGAGAAATTTACGTTTATTAGCGTTATATAAGAATCCGGATTCCAATCTAATGATCATTGATTCACTCACCTCCTCGGTGCCACGTTAAGGCAATGCCTAGCATCAAGTTGGATGTCGAGAATGTTAGGATTGTGAGCACCCGGACTGAAAGCCACGCGTAATGAGTATTCTTTGTCGTCACCGGATACGTTACGATTACGCTCGTACAATTCAAAAGTAATCTGTGTAAGATCTTTACATACATGCAAGTTATTCATATAAACAAGATTAGCATTGAATTAATTCGGATCGCATGTAACAAGGTACTGAATACATGTAACTTATAAACATTTTTATTATATCGAATTGGGAAAGAATATTTACAATCTAGTTCCAGTATTTCATTCTTGTTGATTCTGGTCGGTAAACCAGACAAGAACACAACATTTAAAAGGGTATGTACATGGGACTCTGATAATAGAGATCACAGGAGATATTATGAATGTTAATGTACATTTAATATCGAACAAACAGTCAAGACCATAAAGTTAGGCGGCCATTTTTTTCAATCTTGTATGGGCTTCACCTTTAGTAAAATAGAGTCTTGTACACGGATTTGGACTCGCCTTCGCTACCTCCAAATCCTCAATAACTTGTTTGAGCAGTGGTAATGATGTCAACAATCCGATCTCCAATTTCTCCTTATTCTCAATTCCATATTCTTGAGGTGCCACGAAATCAAACAGGATCTTCGAGCTTTGATACAACTTTTTCACTTGGAAAGTATTCTCATGCGTTGGATCTTGAAAAATTTTCTCAAGAAACTGTCGATTATGCAATGCGTCGTATTTTAATGAATCGTAAAGTTCTGAAAGTTTGCTCGGGTCGAACTTTTGACGGTCAACATCGCAAATGTCCCTAAAAAGTTTTTCCCATCGTTCCCTAAATAGCTGAGGACTTTCGGAGCAACACCACCGAGATTGGATTTTTTCAACGTCCATGGTTTCAAAATTACGATTCATGATGATACGATTATATTTCAGTGAATCTATAATTTCTTGGACAACTATACGGGGTTCCGGCATGTCTTTTGGCCAGGCAAAATCCACTCGAGAAGATTCGCCTGGTTTTAAGAGACTAGTAAGATGGCTCTTGACACTATCCATTTGTTCTTTGGCTGCATTACTGTCATCAAGCATTTCTTTTCTAATCTGAATTACCTCTTCTGGGATTTCATCTACATCTAAAAATTTTCGTGCAAAAATATCCGCTGCAAATTTTTGAGCATTATTAGCTGAGTTCCTTAAATGTACATGTACATAACAACACAATAAAAATACTGGTGCAATTTCATTACTGTTTTCAGAAAGCAACCCAAACTACGCAGATACATAAACACTTGAAAAAAACACTCGCGTTTACATAAAAAACATTTACAAAGATTTTTTTTATTATCATATTTTCAATTTCTATTATACATTTTAAGAACTTTTCGTGGGACTAACTTTCCGAAAACAGCTACGAAACGTAGTCCTCAGACTTGTGAAAATACCTGTAGCGCTCACGCGTCTTTCCGAGCTAGTATATATTTTGACATCATCGAACACCCCTCGATTCATGATCAGTAAATCTTTTCGCAAATTTTCCCCGAGATCACGTGATTGATATCGAGCGGAATGTGTAAACTACATGATATTAGAAAATTTAACATATTGAAGATGAGAAAAATTCATGCTAGTTTTTCGAACTAGTTGTCTAAGATAAGCGTATAGACTGACCTCTCCACCCCATTTCACAATTAATTGTAATTTAATAAATGAGCCATCGACTTTATCATAAGATGGTTTAATTTGAACCTTGGTGCCTGGTAAATCACGTTTTTTGTCTAACACCATCTCTAACTGGGACAGTTTGTTTGAATCTTCCGACTTAAGTTCGATAGCTTTTCTAGTCGCATCTAAAACACGAGACAGTTCCTCATTTCGCAAGATAACTTCCTCCGTACCATCGTTGAGCAATTCTATAAACGGCTGACTTCGGAAAGAAAATTTCATTTTTTGCTTCGGAGTCCTATCGGCATGTCGAAATACCGAGACAAAGGATTTCAATCTCCAGGAATTTTCATATCTTAACTCTCTTGGGATGGTATCGATACTTATCTTACGTTTACGGACTGCATGTAAGAATATCGAACGAAGAATTTGTGCACAATTGTTATAGTAATCGTCGTTTCCTTTTACAAAAGACCAACCATTAACGTCAATGATGTAAGATTTGCCATTGACGCGGAGCAAGTCGAAACCACAAACAGTCTGGCCAAAAGCAAGACATATATCGCTGGCCATCTTTTTCTCTGCAGGAGTAAGATTAGTAACATAGCGAACTTCTTTGCCATCTTGGTTCCGACGAACCATTCCGTCTACTACTGGTGATTTGCGTGTCTCGGCATGTGCAAATGAAGGGCCGATAGTATAGACTTTGACATCTTCTGCATTATCAGTATCCATGAATTGTTCGTAGATGTATGAGCCTTCTGTTCGTGGCTCCACTAAATTGATGTCAAATTCACTCGATTTATTCGCGACCTAAATATGATTAATAAATACGTACGTCAAGATTATCAAATTATTCAAATAAGCATCCAAGTCCACTAGTAGGAAATGATATTTAACAAACAAATATACTGTACTTTGCGGAAAAGTCTACGTCCACCCCCTCCCATCTCTTTGGAAAAGTAAATGTGTATATTGTGGTCTTCACCACTTATGGGTTTTTCAACGAAGGGCTTTTTTAATAATTGTCCATTTATGCTAATAGTATCATAATCAATTAGCTGAACATTCGCTGGTTCGCATGGGGTGTCAATTTTCACACCTATACTCTTCGCTAACTTTTCTGATACTTCTTTTTCCAGCTTTGCTCCGCCATCCCGACTGGCGACCAATCTTTGTGGTGTTGGAACTCCAATCGCATCAAGAAGACTCATAACTAGGCGTCTGTCCCATAGGATTTTTTGCATGGGTAAATCGTTGACGCAGAAGGGCTTGCGCAACTTCACATATTGTATGGCTTTATCCAAAGGAAACCCTGCGGAAAAGAATGAAATGAAAAAATCACAACCAGGCCAGTTTTCAACGTCTTGTTTGTGAGAGAAAAAAAGAAATTTACGTTAGTTTATGATGCTAAATTTAAAATTGCAACGTGTATAAACACACCTTCATCAAGTATAACTTTATCGCCAAAAATAATCGTTTCGAATTCCCCAAACGCAAATAGTGAATTTAAGATGTTTCTCATAGGTTTTGAGCGTGCTTTGGTATCTAATGCACATACTCCTATCACGTCTGTAGAAGAAGGGGAAAAAAACGAAATTCAACCAACGAAATCTTCGTAAACAAATAGAAATAAGAGAAAAAATTGCTACATTTCGATCTTTCCGTGTTCATTGTGAGTGGAGATGGACTACTTTTAAAATGTAAATCGGCAAGTTGCTTGCTAGACATTTTATTTTTTTTCGTGGGAAGTAAATAGTTTCAATAGGACGCGACTGGTCTTTATATCACAATTTTCTATTTAGAAAATTTTCTATTTAGAAAAATTTGTTCATTGAGTAAAAAAATCTCGATTTGCTCTGATTTGACGGTAAAATAAAGATAATTCCTGTTGTGTTTCAAGATGATACAAGGGTTTTTTTTATTAGACTAGCCCAAAAAGGATTGAGAAAACTTGATTGGTGAAATGATTGTCGGAATCGTAAAAAAGAATTGCGCAAAATAAAATGATTTACGAAAAACGTCAAAGCGGTATCACTCAGAAGATAAAAACGCAAATGCACATTATCGATCTTTTCTCGTTGTTGAAATTTTTGGTTTCCTTTTAAATGAATATTCTTTCAAGTACATGTACGCAACGTCAATCGCCAACGTATAGAAATGGTCTAAAACGCACGTTTCCTCTTTAATTTCTTGAGAGTGACGTCCGGGCGTGCATGAATATATGTAATATATGTAATTGCACTAGAAAAATATGCGATTCTCGTAACGTTATCTCGAAATTTAGTTAGGGAGAATTTTAGAGAGCTAATTGCCAAGATTTCACATGTTGAGAAAAATTCCCGATCCTTGAATTTATCGTAATTGCTTTATTTGTTTATTTATTATTGGACCCTTTTGTTATTTCCCATTGTTCAATTTAAGTTTGTCCATTTTTTTAAGGTTATACGAATTTCTAGCATCACAAGACTTGAAATCTTCATGTACCATACGGCGTAAAAGACCACAACAATGAGAGAAAGGACAGAAAGGAAAAAGACCTTCTCAGCCCCGAATTTGAACAATGAAATGCTGAATAAGTTGCATCAATGAACTACACAGCCATAATTTTGAATCCAGTTTATGCAAAAAATCACGAGATCTTTATTCTTTGAATTTTCGAAGCACGTTCTTTTTAGCCACTTCAAACAGTTAAAAATTTAACTAATAACATTTATCGGAATTATTTTATTAAATTTTTGATCATGACATGAAGACAATATTCTTGTCATGTTGTTTGCTGGTAAAGTTTCTCAGGCTTCAGTCAACAATAATGTACTCAATATTTGGTTTAAACATATGAAAATCGAATGCAAATGGATTTCTTACAAAAACACTAGAAATCTTTTTATTGTTCCATTCATCGTGAACTTATTAATGCGTGGGAATAAATTCTTTGAAAGTGATACCTTTTTCGATAAATTTATTTTTCAGATCCTTTTTAGTCACGTGATTCTTAATGTAACTATTATTTTTATGGAAATTGTTATTTCAAGAATAATGATAAATTACGTTAAAGAATTCATCATGACAATGGTAAATTAAAAAGATCTGTCGTGTAAACTTTTTCATTAACACAAAACAGTAGATTTATATACTACATGAACGCTCAGTGATAATGAGATGCGCTTATTTTTAATATAGTCATATGTTTTAGACCAAAAACAGTGCGAATGGGGAGAGGGGGGCAAAATTTATTATCAAAAGCTACGACAGGCAATTCTGTCTTTGTTCCGAATGTGTAAACTTTGTCCAGGTATATTCTTTGTTTGTAACGATGGTCCGGGCGTTTTACACCTAATATATCGGGAAACAATTAGAACTTCATTACGAGTTCTAATTAGGATGTTTTTTCTTACAATACATCCTTTCATTAAAAGTCGAGACCTTTTTAAAAGGGATTATTATAAGGAGGAATTGATTATATTCTTACTAGTTTTATTTATACAAACGGATAAGTAAAAAACAAAAAGAATCGAATCTTACTGTAAATAAACTCTAAATTAATATACTGTATATTTAATTATTTCAACACTTTTTTGCAGTACCCGTAGCTCAAGGCTACTATACATAGGGGTACTTCAATCGAGAAGAGAATACAACAAGTAGAAAGTTATAGTATTGGTAGTACGATAGCATGTATAACGATAGAAATCTTACTCTGGAGAGAGATGCATTCTTGTACGAGAAAATTTCGGAGCTTGAGATGTCCTATACCGTAAATTAGTGTTTATCGAGAGTATTTTTCTAGGGCAATAATATTTCTTACAAGATATATCTTGTACACTTTCTAATCTGCTCAAACTAAAATATGAAAAAATTGATATTAGAAAGAACATGATTCAAATATCATATTTCGTCGCATACAAACCCCTCCCTAAGCTATTACTTTATACATAGCTTTGAACTGAAAGATTTGAATCTTTACAAGAAGATACTTTTTATGTGACAAAGTATGATATCTCTTATTTTTCAAAGAAACATAAAAATTTAATAACTTCAAAGAATTGTACAATATGTGCATAGAATTGACATTAGTTTATTATTTGATTTATATATTGAATTGTATACTTCAACCGATATGGGCTTCGAAAAATTTAGCAACTTTGTAAATTGAGCTCATTATTAAATTTTAAACGCAAATTAAATATATGCGTATCTCTATATAATATGTTTATATTACAAGAAACTGATTTTTATACCAAATTTTAAATAGTACCAAATTATAATTAGTTTTAATTCTCCAAGTAAAAATGTTCAGCGCAAAATCTTACCATTCTTCTATCTATCTATATAATTATTAAAAATATGTTTTACACTACTGTGAAATATAATTTTTGTAAAGGTATTAATTCAAATGGTGAAAAGAATTACTTTTAATAATCAATTATGTAGTAATCAAATTAATAAATCTTTATTTACAAAATAATATTTTCGATATATCGTAATTTGTCGCATAAATCGTCACCCTTATGATACTAAATTTTTCTGAATCCACCAAGGTGACCACCGCTTTTTTTCGGGCCACGTGATGATTTTTAAGGGTAAACCAATCAAATCGTAAGATCAATGTGCAACGGAAAAATTCAGAATAGTTTAACTAAGCCTAACCCTTACTCTCATCGTAATTAAAATTTCATATCTTGTGATTTGATTGGTTTACTCTTTAAAAAATCATCACGTGTCCAAAAAAGCGGTGACAGTACCCGAAAAAATTCAGATATATAGATATCGGTATAAAACGGAACTTTCGAAAAAAATCGTCGGTATAGGTGCAAACAGAATTTTAGCCACTGATCTTATAAAGAACCAGATTTGCATGAGATTCAAGATATATTGCATATTCTCTTTTTACTCCCTTCCCCTCTTTTGTGTCTACTACAAAAAATCGTTTTATAGATTACTAAATGACCTTTTAATATTATGAACAAAATTATTGAAAAATGCCCTAAGCAAAAACGAATAACTGCATATAGTCGTGCACAAGAATTTCTAAAGATTTTCGTTATGATAATGGAATTTTATTATGTCGGTTTTGTAGTCAGTTCGCATATTAATACAGCAAGCCATAGAAAATCATAATCTTGCACAAATAACACAACAAAAGTTAAATTCAACACTTAATAATAATGTATCTATGACACTTTTACAAAAAATGGACAATTTATTGAAATATTAATTTAAATGAAATTGATTTGATTTTGGAACAAAATCTCACATCAATTAGTGAAATAGATATCAAATATATTTAGTTACGAATTTATTCATGTAGTGTAGAACGTAGTATTAGTGCTTATAAGTCAAGAATCTCCATGCACTTACGATTATATATTACACGAAGGATTTTCATTAATAAAATTTCCTTTTATATTGAATTCCCTTAACAATATCACATCAAAGTTTTTGTTTTACTAATTGTAAATATGAACTGCGTCCTTTTTTTCGTAAAAAAAATTTTTTTAAAAACTGGACACTTAAAAAGTAAAACAAAGCCAGTTTTCACGGTCCGATTTGCGATATAACAGTAATTCGAATCGAAAAATGGTGAAGTTGTGGTGAAAAACTAAAGCATTGTTTCACATCGTGTTGAGAATTGTAATAAAATAAATCTTATTATTGTTTATCTATTAATATTATTGAACATTTATCATTAAAGAAAAAATAATTTAATTTAAAAAATAATAAAAATAATTTAATTTAAAAAATAATAAAAATAATTTAATTTAAAAAATAATAAAAATAATTTAATTTTCTGAAACATATTCCAATAAATCATTAAAATCTTCGGGATTATAACGAGTTGATTCACTTTGGTTTTCTTCTGTATTATAAAATGCATGGTTACCATACATATAACCTAAATTCCTATTTGGGTCATGTTCAATTGTCCAAGGAGCACCGCTTACACCGTCTCCTAAATTCACGCCGGGTATGACATATTCAGTATCTCTTCGTTCTACAGTGTTTACCATCACACAAAGGTGAAATCCATCTTTTGGACAATCTGGCATATCACCGTTTTGTGGATAACCAAATACAGTTGTTACAATATTATCATCTTCTAGACCTAATCTCCAACCATTAGCTCCCGTATATTGTTGCAATGTAAAGCCATCCGGATCATCAAAACTAAATCTCATCATGCCATAATCAATATCATGATCGTCATGATAATCAGCTGGTGCTGCAACAAATTCTGCAGCAATTACTCCAAGTGGACCAGAATTTCCAAGATCATACCCAGGCGAAAACGCTATATTATTAAATTGTATGCCATCATCATTAAAAAGACAATGCGCTGCGGTCATTCCAATATTTCCATTCTCAGTATTGAATACACTGGCAGTACAAACTTGTGGTTCCCCAGTTTCAGGGTCAGAGAAAAATAACATTCCAATGGGATAATTAAGTGGATTATTAGGATTGTCGAAAGGATCCATAGATAATGTTTGATCATCATCATCAACCATGATTTTTGCATTTTTAGCACCACTTCTTGTTTTATTCCTAAATCCAATGTTTTTAGGCATTAACGGCTTAGCACTTTTCATTCTTTCCGGTGTCCAAAAAGCGAGAGTCTTATTGACATCAAATTTAGCAGTCATTAGCGCCGCATAGCTTGAATCGGTTATGACTAATGTCACAATTAATGTAATTAAGAAATAAAGTATAATTTTCTTGTTCATTTTTATTATTAAGAGTTAATTTCGATATAGATATATATATTAAGGAATAAACTGTAAAATTTTAAGTTAACAATCCATTTAACTTTAGAAAACCTACCGTCTTTTATAATTATAAATTCTACTAGTACATATTTAGATTAAAAAGAAATAAAAAAGAACATAAAATAATAAATAAATAAGTATCAGTTAAAATCTAATACTGCTATTAATCTAAACGATATTAATATGAATTTCCGGAAAGCAGTAACTTATTAAAAGAATAATATTAATAAAATAAAATAAAATGAAAATAAAATGAAAATAAAACTAAACTAAAATATAAATAATAATATTAATAAAATAAAATGAAAATAAAATGAAAATAAAACTAAACTAAAATACAAAATAATAATATTAATAAAATGAAAATAAAATGAAAATAAAACTAAACTAAAATATAAACTAATATTAAAATAAAGATAATAAACCTAAAATAATTTAATTAAGAGATGTTTCTTACGAAAAAAAATTTTTATATTTAAGATGATCGACATTGTACATTAGATAATAAAAACTAGTATTGTCATTTTCCATATCAATTAAAGGCTGCCGGTTCATTCTTTTCCATACTATACCCATTTTCATAGCAAATCAAGGTTGCATTGTCCACTAGCGTCACCGTTCTTTGCGGATTTTTTGTATCATTTTAAACAGCTTGTTGAGATCCTTTTCCGTTTTTATAAGATTACCCAAGGTTAAATTGTCCATGAGTGTGATCTTTTTCCGTATCAATTCCGCCTTGATAATAAATCCCAAAGTTGTATTGTCCAGCAGAGTTACCGTCTCTGCTGATTTCTTGTACACCTTGTTGGAACCCTTTCCATGCCATATTCGTTTTAATATCACCATCTGCGATTGTATTGTCCTATATTCTCTGCCGATTTCTTGTACCATTCGAACATTTTTTAAGCTCTTTTGTGTCATATTCGTTATCATAATAAACTTTAAGATTATATTGTCTATCGGCATTACCATTCTCTGCTGATTTCTTGTGCCATGCAAACTTGTTAAGAAATAAAATATTAATTCTTTTATGAAATTTCCAAGTATCTGATGATTCTCGATCGGGTCTGTGCCATGACTATATTACAGTACTAGATGGTAATGGTGATGGCGTTTATAAAAGTCATCGTTCTGATTGCAATAAAACTTACGATAAATTACTTACTGAAGAGGTAGGTAAAATCAGCTTTAAGGAAATAGTTTTTGAATCCTGAAAAAACAGTCTTGAGGCCATATATTCTGACCCATTATCTTCTTTCAAGTCCGTAACTGAGAAGATACTGGAACTAAAGACTTCCTTTGGATTACTTTTTTCAATTGAATTTAATACCTCTGGTATTTTTTTCTCTATCCATTTTCATTTCATGCTTAATACACTTGGCAAGACTTATCTTTCCATTTCTAGCTGTATTTATAATTATTTCAGAAATTTCACGAGATTTATTATATGAAGTATCACAAAATGATTCTGCTACACTCTCATATAACTTTGAATTATTATCAATATTTTTATATTTTGAAAAATTATAAACAATTATCTCTAAAACTTTATTCAATTCAATTAATATAGACAATTAAATTTTAAGTTTTATAATAATATTTATAATTTATTATTAATAATAACAAAGCATAAATATAATTTATAGTAGCAGTTATAAGTAATTGATCACTTATTATTTTCCAAAATTAGAAAGAATAATACCAATACTAATTTTTCTCAGTTTCTTAATTATATTTTTAATAGTAATCTTTTTTTATTCTTTACTTAACAACTTTTTGCTAAGTTCAAGAAAGTAAAACATAATCTTTAAGCTAATAAGAATAACAATAACTAACTATAATATATAAAATTTATAAATAATTTTTAAAGTCTTCTTTTTCAAAACTATAAGATAAATATACTCTTTTTATTTTCTTAATAACATAAAAAATAATTGAAATCTTGAAAAATTATAATAGTAAAAAAAAAGTCAAAATAATTAATAACTTATTAGTTAAAATAAAATTTAACTCTCTGATTATTATTACTATTTTGAGTTAGTAAAATTATTTTAAAAAAACTAAGTAATAATTAAATTTTTGTATTTTCAAAAAATATCTCTTTATTATATAATAATATAAAATAATTTTATTATATTAATATTCAAAAAAATTAAAGTTAGATCTCAAAAAAAAATAACTTCTTATATTAGAAAATTTTTTGAAATTATTTATATCAATTTTTATTATTAATTATATATTAATATATATTAAAGTTATCAATATATATTATATATATTAAAGTTATTAATATATATTATTTAATAATATAAATTATTAAATATTATTATTTAATAATTACAGTAACTAAAGATAACTTCTCAACTAATTGCAGCTTATAATAGCCAATCAGAGAATTATGATAGAGTT